GATTTTTAACAATTCTCTAAGTACAATTCCTGGGCCAAAATAAATACCCTGAAAATATTAACATGTGTGTCCTAAATGTACATCTTTGATTATTATAAATTCCCTCCTCCCTAACAAACTGAGCTCCTCTCTGAACCAATTTAAGTTTACCATCTCGATAAAATTCTGAGACCCACTATTCTGTGGCAATTTACTTGAGAGAAATTCTCCTGTGCACACACGCTTAGGCAGGTAGTAAATCTATCTTACTGGTGGATAGATGGGCAAATGGATAGACTAGATACAGGGATTTTAAGAACTTGGCAATTATATAGCACTTTCCCTTAAATGCTCCCCATATATCAGGGACAGTCTACATTTAATCTTGATGGGTCTGGATTTGTTGTTTAAAAGAAACCCCATGATCCACTAATGTGTGTTGTATTTTCAAAGTAAGAGTGACTATTCGGTACTCTCTTTGCCTGAACAGGATGTGCCACAGAACTGAGAGAAGCACAGAAGATGGCAACCAAATGGGTTTCGGGCTTTCCCTAGAAGGAAAGGCAAAATAGTTTGGGGTTTGAGAAGAGTTTGAGAAGAGTGACAACTAAACGAGGACATGGAACATGGTTATAAACATGGTAAAAGTCAACAGAGCACAGTTTTTATCTCTTACAATGCACAAATCTGGGGCCATCTAATTATGTCATTGCGGGATGTATAAAAGAAAATGCTATTTTACAGACTGTGCTATGGAATTCACTGCCACAAGATGTGGTGGCAGCTTTAAAAGCAGCATTGGCCAATTTCATGGAAGAGGAGAGGGTCTGCCAATAGCTTTCCATCATGATAGCTAAATGGAGCCTTCACATATAAAGGAAGTATCCCTCCATATAATACCAGTTGCAAACCACAGGAGAGGTCTCTTCCTTTCAGGTCCTGCTTGTGGGCTTTCCAGAGGCATCTGGGCAGCCACTGTGAAAACCAGGCACTAGATCAGGAGTGTTCGACTCCAGCTCCCATCAGCCCTAGCTATTGTGGACAATGGTCAGGGATGATAGGAGTTGTAGTCCATAAATAACCGAGTCGCTAAAGGCTCCTCAACACCTCACCAGAGGGACCTATGAAGCTCCTTTTATGCTTGAAACTCTAAAAAGGCACAACTAATCTGTACTCTTGTGATCCTAAACATACACTCTTGGTTAAGAGTATAACAGATGCCTAGCTTGGCTCAGACAAGATTCTTTGCGAGAATTCTCGCAATCTGCAGGCACTGGGCTGCCCATCAAAAATCAGCTAGTGCCTTCCCCTATGCCTAGTTCTGCCATGCATTTCCTTCAGCCGTCCTCAACACAGTCCTGCAAGGTAGACCAGTAGACTGTCCCCATTATTACAGGTAGAAGCAGAGAGGTTGCCATATCCCACCAAAAGAGGCTTTATAACTAGAGATGGAGAAACTGGCCCTTCAGAAGATGTTTTTTGTTTGTTTGCTTGCTTGCTTGCTTGCTTGCTTGTTTTTTACTACAGTTCCCATCTTCCCTTTTTAGTCTGCTGGCTGGGGCTGATGGGAGCCATCTAGAGGGTCACACATTCCTAATCCTGGGGTAGACCCTGCCCCTCCCTCCAATACAGTATTTTTATTCTTTAGATGTATTTCTTTGCTATAGCTCTTCCCCACCTGACCCAAACTGTCCACCTTTATTCTCTTCCACAGAAGGCTTGAAATCAATGAAAATCCGTCCAAATATTGGATTTTGCGTGGAAAGGGGGTTACTAATAACTAGGGAAAACAGTTTTTTAAAAACAAATTTTTTTTATTTTAAAAAAAGGAAAGAGAAGAGAAAACAAGAGATTCCAGTATCTAGCACCCCACCCTAAACATCTTTTTAACCCCCCCCCCCCATTTGAAATGTGGCCAGCGCTAGGTGCTGTAATAGATTCTTAATCCTGAAGGTTAAGAAATAATAATTTACCTTCTAAGCTGAGACCCACCGCGACTCAAATGCATATTGCCTTTCTTCACTACCAGCCTATCCTTCACAAACACAGACACTTCGCCATTGTTGCAAAATACTTGCAGGCTAGCGGAAAAGAGTAGCGCTTTATCCATGCTCAGAAACACATTACGTACCAGTATATGTACCAGTATTATCATCATGGACGTAGCCAAGGAGGGGCACGGAGGGGCAGCTGCCCCCCCAATCAATGAAAATCAATAAAAATATATAGCTGAGGTTCTGCCCCCCTCCCCCCGCAACAAGAGGTCTGCCCCGCCCGACAAAAGGCTTCCTTTCCCCCCCCCCCCAACAAAAATCCTGGCTACGCCTATTATTATTATTATTATTATTATTAAAAAAACAGCAGTGGTGCTCAAGGCGTATAAGGAAGTGGGGATTCCAGGGCGAAGCTTACCAATCTGACCACCTTTAAGAAGTTCCTATTGAGCAGAAAGAGATTTTGGTTAAGGACGCAATTCCTTGGACACGGTAGGAAAGTCCTATGGAACTTCGTGGGATTCTCCCTTCGAGGCGGAAGCTACGGAGCTGCAGAGGGATTCGCTTGCACGACTGCAGTCCTTGATCCCATTTTGGGGAAGCAGATCCCAGTTTGTTTAGTGAGACTTGCTTCCCAGTAAGCGGTCTAGGGGATCCTATTCGATCAGCCTTTCCTTGGAAATCAGACTCAGGTATTAAATCGGTACAGCTGCTTGCCACCAGATAAGTCGTATCGCAGTCGGGACACTACTTCGAATCTATTAATTCGAATCGGGATGTTAATTCGAAAAATGTTGTAGCGCAGCTTTTTGGGGGGAGGGGGGACGTGGAGAACAAAACCCAGGTGACCTCCCTTGAGCATTCTCCTGTGCGTGACACATTTAAAACACAAGCAATGACAATGTTCGTTTATCTAAGCACCGAGAAATAAAAGCCTTTATAATTATTATTATTATTATTATTATTATTATTACAGATAGACATCAAGTTTTCGGAACCAACTTAGGAAACCAGAATCTTTTCTTTTTCTTTTGTCTTCCAGCCCAAACAGGAATAATGGCAATGGGGGGGGTAAATGAATAGAAAATAATCTACCCGAAAATAAAGCGGGGAGGGGGGACAAAGAGAATGAAAAAGAGTGTAGGACAGCATAATTAAACTGCTTCATTTAAAAAATAAGCGTTACATTGCCTGCTTTAATTTTTTTTTAATCTACATTATTTTGTCTGGAAGCCGGTGGATTTAAGAATCGGGGTAGTGAATGTTCCCATTCCTCTTGTTGGGGAATGGGTTTCACTCCGATTTACTACATCTGTGGCGGAAATCCCCCCCCCCCAGTGATTGCTAGGGGATTTTTGTTCTTCTTCTTATTATTATTATTAATTATTATTATTATTACAGTATTATTATTATTCCTCATTAGGAGCTACACTAAAGCTCTCCAACGGCGCGATCTTAACTACTCAAAAAGAAGTCCCATAAAATTCATTGGGGCTTACTCCCAGGTAAAGAGCGTTAGGATTGCTCCTAAGCGCGACAGCGATTTTCGTTCCGACCGCTTCGCACTTATCCACAAGTGACCCTAGCGCAACTCTGGACCGCGAGAGTCAAGGCATCCGTTGGGGATACTTTCCATGAAACATGTTTAGAATTGCAGCTTTAAACCGGGTTTTGAACTTCCTTGTAGTTCGAAGGCTAACTCTACATTGCCTGGGGCCGTTCTTGTCCTGATCCCGTGTCAAGACCATTCACAAGTGACGCGCCTCTCAGAGATCTCCCTGGTCTCGATTTTTTTCCCATCTCCTCAGCTGCCTTGCAGGCCTGCACTTCGTTTTTCTTATCATATTTTCGAAGGGTGGAGAGTGGAAGGGGAGGAGGGCTGTAAGCAGGAAAACTGCAGAAATTCACACAAACATGCGGCAGACTTTTTGAGGAGAAATAAACAGCACGGATTTATTTATTTTTTTCCAAGAATGAGTACAACAATTAAGACCACATAAGACAAAACAAACGTGACAGAGAATTCAAAGAGAATGTGTTTTTTTCCTAAATGCATTTTGTCGGTTTTTAAAGGATCAGTTCAGAGTGGGAAATCTATTTTACAATTTTTTTAAAAAAAATCACACACTTGTTTTCTATCTCTCTGTTTTTCTACTGAAAGTATCAGATACTTTACTCTTTTAAAAAAAGTGTGTGTTTTCCAATACTTCCCATCCACAACAGTTCATCAAGGGGAAACAACAATAAATTATTCATTTTTTTTGGTAATTCACTTTTAAAAGGGAAAAGGGACTTTTGATGCGTATTTGTTCACAAAACCCGAAGAAAACAGGAAGACGTTTACTGATCATTAATTTGACAGATGGAAAAAAATGGGCAACATGGGAAATTTTTTAAGGAATAATCCAGTGAACTCAACTTTAAATATTATATTAATAATGGCTCTCCACTTAAGCCTGATTTCCACACATATTTACAACGCAATAAACAGAAACTCCCCTCCCCCCCAAAAAATCCCCCCCAAAACCCCCAACACCAAAACGTATACTTTTATATAGCTGTATCTATAATTATTTCTTTCCCTTTCAAAAAAAATCCTATAAATGTTCGTTGTGGAAATGGTGATTCTCTATAAGTTAACATTGTCCGAGATCACCGTCCTTTTTTTCTTTTCACAAAATAAGTTTTGCCACTGTCCTTTACTAATATATTTAACTTTCGTTAAAAAGATGCCTCCTCAACTCCCCCAAGTATAATGAACTTGAATTGAAAGAAGGCACTGAAGAACACCCCCCCCCCCGCACGCACGCACGCACACGCGCGCACACACACCCCAAACAGGGATTTTAGGGTTCGTAAAGTTCTATTTTGTGGGGCGGGTCACTTTTTCGCCCCAGTCTTTCGTTTGAATAAGAGGTCGTTTAAAAACAAAGCACAGCGCTAATTTCCTTCTATGCAATCTGAAGGGTTGACTTAAACCCCCTCCCTTGTTTGTTTGTTTGTTTGTGTTTCCCAGGAGTCGCTCAATCAATACTTAGTGCAGTCATAGGAATAAGGGGTGGTGGTGTGGCGGTATATGGAGGGCGCAGCTCTATAGGGGATCTGACAGGTGGAGTTGGTGCTCACCTGTTGCTCGCTCAGCGCCGTCGAGGTCTCTAGCCCCAGCCGGTGAGTGTTGAACATTTCCCGCACGTTGGAGAAGTTCTGCTGTTGCGCCCCGAAGGCGTGGCTGGGCAGGTGGTGGTTGATCTCCGACGTGTGGTTCAGGTACCAGGAGGCGGCGGCGGCCGTTGCTTGGCCGCCGGCTTGGTGGTGAGGGAGAGCGTGGTGGTGGTGATGGTGGTGATGGTGGTGGTGACTGGGGGTGAGGGTCCCCTCCTGCTGCTGCCCCCCGCCCGAGGCCAGATTCATGGAGGTGAGGGGCGAAGAGGCGCCGTTGCTTTGCTGCTGCTCCGAGATGGAGGCGGCGGCTTCCTCCAAGGTGGTGGGCACACACAGGTGAGCGTTCCTCTCGCCCGTGTAGAGGCTCATGGCGCGCATGCTGCATTGGTAGCTGCCCCCGGCCTCCCCCAAGCCCCCCTGGCTACAGGCCTGGCTGTAGATGGACGGGGCTTGCGCCTGGGCGTACCCGAGGGGCAAGGAGGACACCATGCCGGCCGTCCTGCTGACGGGGCTGAGCTCGCCCGGCGGCGAAGTCCGTAGAGTCATGATGTTCTCCACGCTGAACCCCGACAGCCCGTTGGTGCCGGCGCCCGGGTGGTGGGGATCACCCGGCAGCGAGCTCTCGGTGGACACCGACGGCGTGGACGCCACGCTCCGCGGGCTGTCCTGCAGGGCGCTGCCGCTCTCCGGGCTGAGGGTCTCTACCTTGGTGATGATGGGCAGGTCCGGCGAGGAAGCCTCGCTCTTGATGACAATCTTCTTCTCAGACGGGGCGGCCGAGGAAGAAGGCGGCGGCGGGGCAGAGGCGGACAAGGAGGCGTTGCCGCCGGCGTTGTTGGACTGCGGCGTGTCCTTGGAGACGTCGGCGGCCTTCAGGGGCTCCTTGAGGTGCCTTTCCCGGAGCGTGTCGTCCTTCTCCTTGGAGACGTCTTTCTTCTTGAAGCGCCGGCGGCGTCGGAGGAAGCTGCCGTTCTCGAACATATTGTAAGAATCCGGATCGAGGGTCCAGTAGCTCCCTTTGCCCGGCTTCTTGTCGTCGCGAGGCACCTTCACGAAGCACTCGTTGAGCGAGAGGTTGTGGCGAATGGAGTTTTGCCAGCCCTGCTTGTTTTCCCGGTAGAAAGGGAAGCGGTCCATGATGAACTGGTAGATGCCGTTCAAGGTGATCTTCTTATCTGGCGCGTTCTGGATCGCCATGGTGATCAGAGCGATGTAGCTGTAGGGCGGCTTCACCAAGTCTTTGGGCGCCGTGGGCTGGTGAGGGTGGTAAGGCCCGTAGGAGCGCCCCATACCTGCCGCGTACTGGTCGGGGTGCCCCGGGTAGACCCCCATGGAGCCCGCCATGCTGCCGTAAGTCCCAGCCGTCCGGTAATAGTTCTGCTCGCTCAGATAAGGGACCACTCCCAAGGCGTTGGGGTCCGAGACGGAGTAGCGGGCCTGCATGGCGTCGGTTTTTTCAAAAAAATTCCCCTCCCTCCAAAAACGACAACAAAGTCCGATCTAGTAGAGGGAGGCCGAAGAAGAAAGGGGGAAATGTGCCCCCCTATGGCCTAGTCGCGTTGTTCTCGGAAGACCAAATCGCTGCCCCCCGCCCGCCCCCTCCAATCTCCTCCGCTGAGCGAGGCCTCCTCCTCCACCACCACCTCAGAGCCAAAACATTCTCCGAAGCTGCTTTGCAAAATGGTCGGAACTCTCAAGCTCTTGCGCGGCGATCTGTCGCTGGGATCTCCTCCCGCATGGTTGAAAAGCGACGACGATGCTCTGGGGAGGAGGAGCAGCGCAATCAATGCACCGGCGTACCAAGTTTTTGGGGGTTGTTTTTTTCTGAAAAGCAAAAGCAAAAAAGCGAAAACAAAAAAGCGCGACGACGGGCCAACCGGACGGATGGAGAGGCAGATTTTCGCAAAGGAGGGAGGGGAATGACAGCAATAATCTTGCAAGAAGAAAGGGATGGAGGGAAGCTATCGCTCAGGACTCTCGCTTGCTCCGCTGTCTCTGCCCGCAAAGGCTCGCGACCCGCCGGCTCCGTTTGTCCCGGGTGAAAGCGGAGCGCGTGTAAACAAAAACAAGCCGTCGGAATCCAAATAAACGGTTCCTGTGCCGGCGACGCGCGCGCCACTCTGGAGCACAGCGCGAGGGGAGCCTCCGGGAAGCCCCGCGCCAGGCGAACTCCCCATCGAGGGCTGGAGAAAAGTTTCCAAAACTTCCCTTGCGGAAGGCCCGTTTTTACTCCTCGCTGGCCACGCCTCCGCCCTGCGCTCTCCGCCAATGGCGGCCCGGCTCGGGCTCGGGAGGGCCAATGGGAGAGTCGGAGGAGAGCGCCGTAAGGACGCGGCGGGGCTCCGGGAAGCGCGGCGAAGTTCGGGGTGGCTTCTGGCGTCCGCCTTCGCGGGTGGAACAGGGGCGATTCTGGAGCGCGAGGAGTAGGGTGGGTGCCGGGTGGGAGAGGTGCGATCGGTGGGATCCGAGGTCTGATTCGGTTTAAAGCCGAATCAGAAGCCGTTGCGCAAAGGCATCCGCGTTCTTAATTTAATTCCATCTATTTTAAAGATTGGAGCCACCATCTCCGAAAAGGCTACTGTTCTAAAATATTTCCCCGCACTGACAAATCTCCTATATGAAGCAAATTTTCCTTTTCAGGGTCGTTTGACGTTTTGACTTGAAATAAAATCTCTCCTCATCCGACACCAACGATAACAATGCCTGAGCGCCAGTCTAGGCTCCTTTCTTAAATTTTAAAGGGCGCTTAAGACAGCGCAGGGGATTTGTTCGCTCCCCTGCACCCGATGCGCCAAATCGATTTGCACTGCAAAGGAAAAAGCAAAGTTGTTTTTTTAAAAAAAAAATAGAATTACTTGACACCTCCGTCCTAACCTCATTTAACACATCGGTCCTAAATACCTGAGATTAAGTTCCAAGGAAAGTGCTTCCCCCGCTCTCTCTTTTTTCTTTTTCTTTTTACCACGGAGGCTCTTGTTTCGAATGAAATTGTGTAGATTTCAGTTGAGATTTCTCGCGCCTCGAGAGTGCCTAACGACTTCACAGCTAATGTGCTTCAATTTAGATATTCAGTTTCTTTAAAAAGATGGCTTGAAAGGGATTTTGTTAGACTGACGACGCCCCCTCCCCGCCGCCCAATTCGACCCTCTAATTATTCCATTAGAGGCAATTAGGCTTGGTTAATTAGGGACGCGAGCCCGCAACCTAGGTGTGATTCCGCCCCCCCCCCCCCAATTTCTCGGGTCGGGACGCTCCGCTGTGCAAAACAATTGCAAATGGGGTGGCGAGGAGAGGAAAACAATTATATTTTATTCCTTCACTTCCAATTCCATTATTATTCTTATTATTAAAAATCTGACAGTCAATTTCGATGTTTAAACCATATCCAAACTCATTTAGGCTTGCTTCTTTCCTCCCCACCCCGGTTTAAATGTGCTTTTCCCACAAAGTTTCTGCTGCGATTTTTAAAAAGAATGATATGACTCCGGGGACGGGTGAAGTGCTCACCGGAATGTTTTACGGTGCAATTCCTAGGCGGGTATTTTTTTAATCCCACTACGATGGAGGGGGGCTTTATTCCTAGGTAAGTGTGAGGCTAGAAAGTGAGGCAGAACATTTCTAAACTGATAAAAGACCTATAAGTGTCGACGGCTCCTTTTGCCGCCCCAAGCTTCTATTTGACTTGATGTGACTGATTTCAATCCATTGATTTTCAGCGCTTCTAAAATAATAATGATGGCTAGCCTCTAGGATCTTGGGAGAAAGATTCCAAGGTATTGATAGCTAGTACGGGATCTTTTGCAACTAGAAAGATCTGAGGCAGAGGAGCATTTTACTGTTAGGAGGCCCATTTGGGAATTTATTTATTTGAAAAGGAGAGAGGCTCAAAATACCGACCATGGTACTCTATATTAAACAAAAAAAATACAAGAAAAAATATCCATATCCTTTGAAGTATTTCTAGAGATTCTGAATCTGTATTCTTTTTTTTAGAGGGAGGGAGATATAAATACTCCTTTTTTGGAACACATTGGTCTTGTAACCAGCTGTTTTGTGAAAGCTTGGATAAATGACTTGAGGTGGGGGGAATAGTACCATATATCAGTATTTGTTTGTTGTCGTGAGATTTCATGGTCCTGAGATTTCATGGAAGCCCTTCAAATAAGAACACCCAAAATACGCCTGGTAAGAAGAAAAGAAATAAAATTGCTAAGGAAGTTTGAAATTAAGACATGATGAGGTTTCAAATATTCTTGAAATGCCCTCTTCCAAATTTTGTTCTGTTTAATCCATCACGCTGTTACAATTAAATCCAGTTTCCCAATTTCCCTCGGAATGTAACTGAATATGTGAAAAGCATGTCACGGATTTGACAGGCAATGCAGACAAACTGGATACACAGTAACGGGAAATCTCAACCTTCTTATTTCTGAAAAACAGACACGCTAGCCAGTATTTTAAAAGAAATTAAAATGAAAAGAGACGGGGAGATTTCCCATCTATTTTTGGAATGATTGCTCCTGTTATCCGTTCTTCTACCCTGTTTCTGAAGTTCCAAGACTATTTAACTGAGTTACCAAAGAAAAAAAGGAAAAAGAAAATTATTCATAGATTCCCACAAAAACAAGCAAGCAAACAAAAAGAGGGAAAGGGAAATAAGTAAATCCCACGCACCTTTAAATAAACTATCCAAACAATGTTTTGTATCTCAGATTAACTCCTTCGGAAATTAAGATAATTGCCTTATCGTAAAACAGGAGTGATTGCAACGGGAGGGATAAGCTTTACTCTTCCGATGCGTCTTTAAAATCCTCGGAGCAAGCTTCCCAGATACACAGAACGCTTCTTCGGACTTACTATTATTGATCTAATTTAAATAAATTTAAATAAGTTCAACGGATGTTGCATGGGTAGAGTGGCATTTACCTTTACATAGATCGCTTCCTTCATCCCCTTTTAAACTTTCCCATTGCTGCAGACTTCGGGGATATGTTTGTCGGAAAAGACAACAGTTATAACGCCTGTTGCTTTGGAGCATCATCTAAAGGCATTCGCGCCAAGCTCACGAGCTGGAGTTTGCTGCCCTCCATAGGCTAAAAGAGTGAATTAAACGTTGCCCTGGAAAAACCTCCCGCCTGTGGAATGGAGACAGCGACACCTTGTGGGTCAATAACAGCAGCGCACACATTGTAGAACGTATCTGCCTGTACAGTAACACCCATTGGACGGTGTAGGACTTACTCATAAGAACCAACTCCTAGGGGCCAAGGTCAAAACCAACTCCTAGGGGCCCCCTCCAAAAAAAAATATTTGAGGAGGCCAGGCCCCCCAATTGATGAGCATTCCCGCTCAAATGGTGTGTGCGCGCCCCCAATATTTTATTCAAGTTAGCACCCTTGGACCTACTTCTGAGTAAGCATATATATGATTGCGCTATGCATCTTTCCTTTCACCTATCCCTCGCTCTCTGTTCCTAGAAAATGTAACTTGAAAAAAGCGGCATTGCACATACTTTTGTAAAACAAGAAAGAAAGAGAGAGAGAGAGAGAGAGAGAGAGAGAAACCATAGAGAGCAACATCTGAACTTTAATGGCTGGAAGCGAGCATCATTCATCCTTGACAAATGTATTTCCAAGTAAACGTGCGTGAACGGGATCAAGCTATAAATTCAAAGTAAACAAATAATTACCTTAAAGTACCCAGTTTACTTTTCCCAGTAGTGATGTATGGAAGTGAGAGCTGGACCATAAAGAAGGCTGATCGCCGAAGAATTGATGCTTTTGAATTATGGTGTTGGAGGAGACTCTTGAGAGTCCCATGGACTGCAAGAAGATCAAACCTATCCATTTTTAAGGAAATCAGCCCTGAGTGCTCACTGGAAGGACAGATCCTGAAGCTGAGGCTCCAATACTTTGGCCACCTCATGAGAAGAGAAAAAAGACCCTGATGTTGGGAAAGATGGAGGGCACAAGGAGAAGGGGACGACAGAGGACGAGATGGTTGGACAGTGTTCTCGAAGCTACCAGCATGAGTTTGACCAAACTGCGGGAGGCAGTGGAAGACAGAAGTGCCTGGCGTGCTCTGGTCCATGGGGTCACCAAGACAGCTAGGCAAGGGAGGCATGGACACGACTGAACGACTAAACAACAACAACAACCCAGTTTATTGAAAATTCTATAGGGGTAACCCTATTTAGTCTGTTGGAAAGCACATTAGTGAGTAACAAAGGAAGGGTTTTTTTGCTTTGGCTTCAGGAGCATTGTTGTCACCTCTATGCACTTTTTAGTCGACTAAAATCTATTTAACTGCAAATTTCTCATCCTTTATTGACTGCAGTACTTAGATGCCATTGCTGGACCTTTTAGCGTTTCTTTCATTTTCTCCCGGCGGTAGTGAATGAAACATCCAGACTCTGCTGCTTGCAACGCACCCTTTGCGCTTGCCGAACTGCGCGCAGGTAAGCATGCAGCGGTCGCCGGAGGAGCTGCGGACTCCGGTACCTTCTTCCGCGCTCAGTGCTGTCCCTTCTGGGCTGCCGTAGTCCGTGTCAGCACGTGGAGCGAACGGCAGCTGGAGGAGGAGCGACAATGTAGCTGGCTGGGCTGGCTCGGCCAGCTCTGGGGCAGGCATGGAGGTGGCGCAGCAAGTGGGCAGCCCCGGTAATGAAGGGGACGCTGGGGCAAGGACCTTCCTGGCAAAGCGCATGCTTTGCACGCAGAATGCCAATCCCTGGCACCTCCGATGTGCGAAAGGTGGCCGATTTGGGCATCAGCTGCTGAGGCAGCCCCGAAACAGAATCCGAGTGGTGCCGGTTAAGGAGCATTCTGACCCCTTGTTCCTATGTGGCAAGTGGGGTGCCTGGGACAGGACTGGAGCTCCGGTAGTTAGTTCTGCCAGGACCTGCCCACCTATGAGGCCAAGGGAGCATAGCTGTCAACGTTTCCCTTTTTAAAAAAAGGGAAATTCCCTTATTCCGAATAGGATTCCTCGCAAGAAAAGGGAAAAGTTGACAGCGATGCAAGGGAGGCAACTGCCTCAGGCGGCAGGATCCACAGGAGCGGCAAATCCCAATGTCGATCTTTCTCTCCCCCCTGCCCCCCATTCTTGATAATAGCTCTTCACTCACTCCTTTCCCTGGCGGGGGGGGGGGCACCAGTTTGCCATCCGCCTTGGGTGCCAAAATGTCTTGGGCCATCCCTGAGTTCTACTATGAAGGGAGGTGAGCCAGGAAACTAGGCCCTGAGGTTCAGGGATGCATTCAGTCCCTCCACCCCAATATCTGACTGTCCAACATGCTGCCTTATTCTGTAAACTCCTGGCTCACTAGCTAACTAGCTGCCGCTTTGTTTGCCTCCTACTTGAGAAACTAAGCCAGGAAGAAGGCTTGCTCTTAACTCTGCTCTAGGTGCAGGCAGTCTACTCCTGCTAAACTGGGGGTTGGGGCACTTGTGTGCCTTTTCAATTGCAAATAAATCAACCACAGAGGTGCTGAGGGAAGGGAGGAAGCTGTGTGCAGGTTTCTGTGCAATCTGCATAGGAACATATCAAACTGCCTTATACCAGATCAGACCATTGGTCCATCTAGCTCTGTACTGTCTACACTGACTGGCAGCAGCTCTCCAGGGAATATTCCCAACCCTACCTGGAGATTGAACCTGGGGCCTTCTGCATGCAAAGCAGATGCTCTTCCCACTGAGCCCATTCCCCACCATCTAGATTGATCTAGATTCTGAAGGGGCGTTGGAAACTGTTAAAAAATAGAATGCTTCTAATTTATTAAATATATAAAGAATAAATAAATACTTGATTAAGGCTGCAGTCCAAACCCCACTTTCTTCATAACTGAGCCCCAGGGAATTCAAGAGGACTTGCTTCTAAGTAGAAATGGTTGTGCTTGCACTATAAGGTATACCTAGAGTAAAGGTAAAGCCCTGACCATTAGGTCCAGTCGTGGCCAACGCTGGGGTTGCGGCGCTCATCTCGCTTTATTGGCCGAGGGAGCCGGTGTACAGCTTCCGGGTCATGTGGCCAGCATGACTAAGATGCTTCTGGCGAACCAGAGCAGCGCACGGAAATGCCGTTTACCTTCCCACCGGAGTGGTACCTATTTATCTACTTGCACTTTTTGGGGTGCTTTCGAACTGCTAGGTTGGCAGGAGCAGGGACCGAGCAACGGGAGCTCACCCCATCGCGGGGATTCGAACCACCGACCTTTTGATCAGCAAGTCCTAGGCTCTGTGGTTTAACCCACAGCGCCACCTGCGTCCCTCATACCTAGAGTAGACCTGCTGAAATCAGTAGACTTCTCAAGGGTCTGCTCTGAATATGTCTAGCATTGGATTTTGTCCAAGCTTATGTGGAAAATGCCAGTGTGAATCCATCCTGACTCTTACGTTCTCTTCTTTATTGCAAGGAGTTTCCAAGTGGGACATCCGCCATAAAATTTGGGACTACATGGAAGCAAATAACTTGGCTGATTTCCCAAGACCTGTCCATCACCGGATTCCCAATTTCAAGGTATGACAGCATGGCCTCCAGGTGAAAATTAAAACACACATCATCTATTGGAACACATTCCTGCTTATTCCTACAGAGGAAGGCTGTCAATGGTTGGGACAGGTTTTGACAAAATACTGACAGTGAGTTTATTGAGTAACATGGCATCCGGTATCACCTGCAAATTTCATTTGGCTTCTGCATGCGGCCCTTGAAGCTTTTTGGGGCGGCCCTCTGCAACATTTGATGCCCCTCCCACAGCCCTTGTGATGCCTTCCCAAAGCCAGGTAAGTGAGGCAGTAGGCTTTGGGAGGCATGAGGGCTCTGACAGAGTCCTAGAGTCCTTCCGCCTCCTTCCCAAAGCCTATTTAGTGTTTTTTCCAGCTTTGGGAAGAAGGTGGAAAGCCTCCAGGATCCTGCCAGAGCCATGCATCTCCTTCCCAAAGCCTAGAGCAGGGGTCAGCAACCTTTTTCAGCCGTGGGCTAGTCCACCGTCCCTCAGACCTTGTGGTGGGCTGGACTATATTTTGGAAAAAAAATATGAACAAATTCCTATACCCCACAAATAACCCAGAGATGCATTTTAAATAAAAGGACACATTCCACTCATGTAAAAACAAGCTGATTCCCGGACCGTCCACGGGCCGGATTTAGAAGGCGATTGGGCCACATCCGGCTCCCGGGCCTTAGGTTGCCTACCCCTGACCTAGAGCCTTTCTTACTCAGCTTTGGGAAGGCAGCGTGTGGATTGTGGGGTCATCAAATTTTGGCTTTGCCCCCTCCCCCCCACTGTGTGACAAGGTAGTGTGCGGCCCGCGGGTTCTGTGTCAAAGTAATCTCATGGTCCACTTGGTATGAGAAGTTGGACCGCCCTGTTCTAAGGACTATAGCTCAGTGATCAGAACATCTACTTTGCATGCACAATGTGTCAGGTTCAATCCCCAGCATGCAGGGCTGGCAAAGAGCCCTGCCTGAAACCCTGGAGAGCCACTGTAGACCAGTCTTTTTCAACCTTGAGTCCACAGGTGTTGCACTACAACTCCCATCATCCCTGACCACTGGTCCAGCTAGCTAGGGATGATGGGAGTTGTAGTCCGACAACATCTGGGGACCAAAGGTTGCGAAAGGCTGCTGTCGACAGTACGGATCTAGATGGACTGACTTGGTAGAAAGCAGCTTCTCATGATCCTAAGGGCTAAGCCTCTTCCACGTGTCGCTTCTTATGAGAGATCTCTTACCAAAACAGGATGCACCATGTGCTTCTGCAAGGCTTCCTGATTTGCAGGAGTTCCAAAGTGCCAGGACTGTTAAGGTCAACCCTGATGCCCCCCAGAAGAATGCCCGCTTTTTAGCTCTGGAAGTGAGTATGCTGCTTTCCCCACTTTCTCCCTGGTGCAGGGATCTTTCGAGATGAGCTGCTCCGCCCAAGCATGGGATGTCTTTGATAAAGCCAGGGAGGTCAAGGTGGATCCTGACAAACCTCTGGAGGGAATCCGGCTGGCTGCGCTGCAGGTAACCAGACCTTTGCTCCCAGAGGCGATTTCGTAGGCTCATTTTTGTGTGAACACCCCCTATCTCCTCTTCTCCCAGGCCAGGAAAGCTCTCTTGGTGCCAACCCCACGCCTGCGGACGGGGCTGTTCAACAGGATCATCCCTCCCCCTGGAGCAACCAAAGAGATGCTAAGAAAATGTGCCACTTCTCAAGTAAGAATGGCAGGGAGGAGGAAGCAAGAACAGGGTTTTTTTGGTTAACTGATTTCTACTGTGCTTCAAAAAGACTGCTGAGCATCAATGGGACTAGCTAGAAGGCGATTGAAAAGTGATTTAGTTTGCTAGATGTTTCTGTTTCCTCACTTTCTTGATTTTTTTTTGTATTGGTATGTGCAGACTGCAAAGCATTTCTACCATTCCAGGCCAAATCAACAGCATCCCCTATAAGGAATGGCTTGTTGCTATCTTGTAGGTCGTAAAGTGGGGTTTTGGCGCCCTCCAGCGCTGGAATGCCAAAAGCAGGCAGGCGTTATGGGATATATTTTCCAGAGGAGTGCCTGTGTTAATCTGTTGCAGAAAAACAAACAAACACAGGATCTTGTTGCAGTGCCTTTTAAAGAGCCACAGATTTATCCCATGGCATAAGCTTTGTGGGCTAAAATCCACTTTGTCAGGTGCATGTAGTGTGTTTAACCACACGGGACTAGGACCTGGGAGACCAGGATTCAGTTCCCCAATCGGTCATGAAGTTCACTGGGTGGCCTTGAGGCAGTCACTGCCTCTCAGCCTTGGCTACCTCACAGGGTTGTTGTGAGGATAAGATAGGGAGGGACAGAACCATGTACACCATCTTATGCTCCTTGGAGTAAAAGGTGGGATATAAATATAGTCAAAATATTATTAATAACTAAAGCGTTACTTACTTAGTAGTTAGTTAATAGGTTCACATACGTGTACATATATACATACATATATTGGTGTATATTCTTATAGGCAGTGCTGTCAAATGGAATTAAATGTCAAAAATGCAGTCTCTGTTTATATTCACACCATACATTTTAACAGTCTTGGAGAATCCTGGGAACTGTAGCTTGTCGAGGGTGTGGGAACTATAGCTCTGTGAGGTCAGCACCCTGCGAGTCCAGCACAAACGATAATTCCCAAGGTTCCCCATGACTGTTAAAGTGGTAGGATAGTGCTTTAAACATACAATGCGGATGTGAACAATTTCACTATAAGTTTAAATGTAATCAAGATGACCATCCGCTGTGGCAGAAACTGATAGCAACATAACTCCAGTGGAACAGGAATTCATGATCACAATGGAAGCTGCAGGTGACAGAACTGAACTGCCTGATTAAGTTGTCCTTCGGCAGCCTTGTGCTGGAGACCTCCTTTGAAGCTCCTTTGTTCGAAAATGAGCACGTTCAGGTCAGCGGCAGAACGGAAAACCTGGCATTTCTGAAATTGGGTTTAGGATGGGATTTCCTCCAAGCTGACGTTCCCAATTGCTTGAGAATCCCAGAAGAACAACTTGGCTGGCTTCCAAGAAGAGAGCAGGACCGGCTGTGCTGGATAGAGGAGGCTTCTGTTCTCTCTCAATAGACTGTTGTTTGGTGGTTGGGGAGTTTGCAAGGGGGAGAGAGAAGGGAGCAATTCAGGCTGACGGTGAGCAACCACGCTTCTCTTCCTCCTCTCTTTCTTTTTCCCCCCAGGGCGTTCGGGATTACAGCGTACCCGTTGGGCTGGACGCAAAGGTCTACGTGGACCTGGTTGTGGTAGGATCTGTGGCTGTTTCTGAGAAAGGTACTTGGCAGAAAACCATGTGGCTGGGAACTTCAGCCAGAGGGAAGCTGCTGAAACAAATTCCAGATAGCTAAGCCTGGGCAGATTATCTAAATGGAATAGAACCTCCATGTTTAGTGGCAGTATATCAGTTGGTGGGTGGGAAGATAGTGAGGGAGGGCTGTTGCCTTCCTGCCCTGCTTATGAGCTTCCTGGAAGTGTCCAGTTGGGAAGATGGACAAGGTGGGCCACACCACTGATATGATCCAGCAAGGCTCTTCTTATGTTCATATTAGTCATTATACTTGAGATCAGAGCCCCATATACCAAGGCAGTATACCCCCAAGTTGGATAGCAACATAGGAAGCAGCTTCATATCAAGACAGGCCGTTGGTCCATCTAACTCAGTCTTGTCTACACGGATTGGCAGCAGCTCTGCAGGGTTATAGACAGAGAACATTCCCAGACCTTCCTGGTGATGCCAGGGATTGAACATATGGGGTCTTTTGCATGCAAAGGTGGGTCACGGGTCTGAAAAGACCACAGTGTAAGATCATGATCTTTGAGCAGTTGTGACTGGTGCCCATTGGGAGCTGTAGAGCCGAAGGCAGGGAGGTTGACAGCAGGTGGTGCCAGAGCCAACAGCAGGAAGAGCCCACTAATTCTAGTTTTGTCCCATCCTCCTCCTGCTTGCTGGGTTCTACAAGGGCAATACTGAGACTTAACAAACGGGGAAGCTGACAGGCTGCAGCACTCCCAGAAAAGTTGTAAGAAGGCAGGCAGGTAGGGACTGGCTGAGGGCAGGCCAAGGTTGCTAAAACAGTGCCCCATTCACCCTGACAAGACCAGCCTACACTGTCTTTGAGTTGTGGTTTGCAACAAGGAATGTCTGTTGTTGTTGTTTAGTCGCTTAGTCGTGTCCGACTCTTCGTGACTCCATGGACCAGAGCACGCCAGGCACTCCTGTCTTCCACTGCCTCCCGCAGTTTGGTCAAACTCATGCTGGTAGCTTCGAGAACACTATCCAACCATCTCATCCTCTGTCGTCCCCTTCTCCTTGTGCCCTCCATCTTTCCCAACATCAGGGTCTTTTGGGGAGTGTCTACCAACCACAAAAGGAGGACCAAACAAAATAAATAAAAATTCCTTCCAGTTGCACACAAAAGCTCATACCAATAGCAAACTTAGTTGGTCTCTAAGGTGCTACTGGAAGGAATTTTTATTTATTTTGTTTGTTTTGACTACAGCAGACCAACATGGCTACCTACCTGTAACACAAAAGGAGGAGTAAGATATGAGGTGGTCATATTTGGGAGCCAGTGGAGCATCAGTATCTTGGCTAGATGCAAGGCTACTTTTTTGCAACGTCAAAGTTTTAATTCTGAATGAAAGTCAGCAGCTGATTTTTTACTATAATGTAAGAACACTAGAAGAGCTCCCTGGATCAGGTCAGTGGCCCATCTAATCCATCGTCCTGGTTCTCACAATGGCCAATCAGGTGCCTCGGTTGGAAAGCCTGCAAGCAGGGCCCAAGCACAAGAGCACTCTGCCTTCCTGCAGTTTCCAGCAACTGGTGTGGAAGCATTGCTGCCTCTCACCATGGAGGGCAGACCGTAACCATCATGGCTAGCAGCCACTGATCACGTATCCTGCATGAATTTGTTCAGTACTCTTTTATAGCCATCCAAGCTGGCTCCTGTGAGAGTTAGTTGAACTATACAGACCTCATTATAAATAAAAAAGGCAATTAGTTTTCCAGGTTGGGTCCACACTGTGCACTGGTTCTGTTCAGGCTATTCTACTCCAATTCCCTCACCCTTCCTCCCAATTTTCCATTCCCCCTGCAGTAGTCCATGCCCACTGAATATGCTCAGTTCTCATTGGGCTCCAATGGTGAATTTTTGCCCTCTCAGGGTCTCCCCCAACACACACTAGCTGTTTCCTTGCACTTTTCCAAATCTAGTTATCTCCAGCCTGCTGAGACCTTCCTCCTGAGGGCGAGTCATGCTGTTTTGGTTAGGTAAGCTGCAGTGGAGGCTTGTCAATAAGAGCAAATGGGATACTGCCCAACCAACCTCAGTGTCCCCTCAGTCAGCCCCCAGTCCAGGGGGTGGCTTCCCCCTCCTCAGTCTCAGTGTTGCCCTTGTAGAACTCAGAAGGGAGGAGGATGGGGACAAAACTGGAATTAGTTGAGTCCGCCTCTCATTGGCTCTGGGCCTGCCTATCATTGCTTCTGGCTCCACCTACAATTGCTCTCTTTGCCTTATTCCCTACCAATCCTGGTGGCATCAGTCACCACATTTGTACAGCTAAGTTTATGACTAGAGAAGAGAGAGTGTGTGTAATGATTTTCCAGGACTGTAGGTGGCAGACTTCCTCTTAGAAAAAGTACTTATCTCTCTGACTCCAACAAAGATAAACCCTGCAGAGGTGGTTTTAGAGGCGTCCACATTGGGTTTTGTGCTGCAGGGGGTGCTATAACAATGCTGTAGAATGGTGCATGAGAGTCAGGTAGTGCTGAATTTAAGCATCGCATGGGGCACCGCTGAAATTTGAGAGCCCAAGGTCTGCCACGGAATCCCTCTTCTAACACTGGCTGCATCATCTAGAAACAAAGCAAGTGTGTTGGCTTTTCTTCAGAAGAATCCCTGTAGATTTAGCTGAAGGGTGAATGAAATAATAAACAAAAGCACCTATGATGAGCCAAACTAACAGATTTAGTTAGTCCGGTAACTATGGAACTCTCTGCCACAGGCAGCAGTGATTGCCACCAACTTGGACAGATTTAAAAGAGGATTGGATAAATTCACAGAGGAGAAGGCTACCAATAGCTACTAGCCACAATGGCTATGTTCTGCCTCCTTGGGCATAAGCAGTAATGCTTCTAAACACCAGTTGCTGGAAACCACAGGAGGGGAGAGTTCTCAGGTCCTTCTTGTAGGCTTCCCAGTAGAGGCATCTGCTAAGTCTCTGTGAAAACAGAGTACTGGCCTGGAAGGGCCCTTGGCCTAATCCAGCAGGCAATTCCTGCTTATATACAGGTATATAAACAATGCATCCCTGTGGTTGTTTCTTCTTGTGGTCTCTCACTTTCTCACTGCAGGCTTACGAATCGGGAAAGGGGAAGGCTTTGCAGACCTGGAGTATGCAATGATGGTCTCCATGGGAGCTGTAAGAGAGGACACAGTAGTTGTCACAGCCGTTCATGACTGCCAGGTAACAACAGCTACATGGAACTGGGGCGACTTGCTACCCGGCAGGGTGGGGCTTCCTGGGCACTGGGCAAGATCTGAGCTAGGAAACAAATTTGATGATTTTGGTGTGATATGCAAAGTAAGCACTTTGCAGAATTAAACTCCGCCCCTTCAGATCACGGTCAGGGGCAGCGAGACAAGCGAAGCACCAAATATTGCCCTCCCCAGAAGCCTGCTGATTTCCCAAATTCAATAATCTCTTTGTAAAAGAAAAATATTTGGATGCAAGATCAACCATGGAAGCAAAAACTAGAGGAGATCATGAGCCTCTGTGATGAGGCAGGCAATGGATTTAAATTTCAACTGAGCTATTTGCTCTGACTGCAGTATTTATTCTATTCTCTGGATGGAACTCACTCCTGCAGGAGGCAATGATGATCACCAACTAGAATGGCTTTAAAAGAGGATTAGACAAATTCATGGTGGATAAGTGGTTAATGGCTGCTAGAGCTGTGATGAGTATGCTTTGCCTCCACAGTCAGAGGCTTCTGAATACCAGTTGCTGGAAAATGGCAGGAGGGGAAAGCGCTCTTGTGCTAGTCCTGTTTGAGAGTTTCCTGTAGGCATCTGGTTGGCCACTGTGAGAGCAGGATGCTGAACTAGATGGGCCATTGGCCTGATCCAGCAGGCTCTCCTTGCCTCCTTTATGGTGCTAAAGGGCTCTGCATTTGAAAGCCACCTATGGACTGATGATATTTTTCCTCCTGCTTAATAAAGGTGGTTGACATACCAGAAGATCTGCTGGGCGACCATGACCTAACTGTGGATTACATCCTTACCCCAACGAGAATAATCAAGACAGGGTGTAACCACCCCAAGCCACAAGGGATCCTCTGGCACAAGGTAGGTGGCCTGTTCTGCAATGAGCAGTTTGCTGGGGTGCTAGAGAGGCATTTCAAGTGTCTTGCAGAATTTGCATTAGATGTGCTATAAATGAATAGGTTGTTGGTGACAACAACTAACTATTAGCATCACAGTCTGAGGAGTAGGGCTAGTGGGTTAGATGCAATGGTCATCCTATGCAGATTAGACCCATTCAAATGAATGGGCCTAAATTAGTCACGTCTTCTGATTTCAGTGGTTCTGCTCTGAAAAGGAAAAACACTGGGTACGGTCTATTATTTAATTCAATATGGTAGCAGAAGGCTGGACTAGAGGAAGCAAAGATAGCCCTATGTGGGGGGGGTGGGCAGGGGGGAGTGTGACTTTCCATATTTAAGGTGGGCTGTTATTTTTACCACCCACCAAGAATAAAGCTAGTATGTGGACAGACATATGGGTTTGTTGTTGTTTTATAAAGTATATCAATGTGTGGTTTTTAAAAATTGATTTGATGTTTGCATTCATACAAAATTTGAGAAGTAAAATAAATAGGAGGAAGAAGCACGATATTAGAAGACCAATAACAGAACAACAAATAATTCAACCAGAGACAGTGAGCAGTTTATTGATTCATACAATCATACGAATAAACAAAAAATTGCATCACAATAATTATTATCCTGATATAAATATAATACTTATAAATTCGTTAATGTAGGTGGGGAAGTTGCCTGAGTAATTCTGTTAAAATTTTAAGTTATTGCTATTTATTTATACTAGTTGTTTATAATTTGAAGTATGGGAAGAATCGTTATCATACCATCTCATAACCGAAAAAGCGTTGCAGCTAATCCTCCATCTCCCCCCCACCCTGTTTGCCATTCCAGAGTTTTTTAAACATTGTACATTCTTGTCTGAATCTGTTTGTTTTCATTGTTAAATACTGCCAGGATGTCTAGGAATAGAGAGCAGCTCAGGAATATTACAGGCAGAGTGGGGTGGGGACAAGAAACATCTCAGTTTGAATCTTCAGGCTGATTAGCTCAGGTGTGTTGCTGTGGTGCCCATTGGCTCTGGTGGGGCGGAAGGCAGGGAAACCAACAGTAGGTGGAGCCAATGACGGGCACCACTGCCCCCTGATTGGTTGTAAGTAAGAAGGCAATCTTGAAGCTGGTGGGTCAGAGCCCCATTCAGCCTAATGAACCAGCCTCCACTGTTGTGTTCATTGCTTCATAACAAAAGCACTGAGGGATGGGGAGGGGAGCCTGCAGATTTCTTTTTATTTCCTTGTTTGTTTAAAAGTATTTCAGCCTGCCTTTACCGCTGCATAGCCCTGCAAGTGGTTTGTTGCAGAACCAAAAATGGTTGCAGCAAAAGTAGCACGTCAGAAAGCAATCAGACCAAAGGTCTAGCCCAGCATCCTGTTCTCACGATAGTCAACCAAATGCCTGCGAGAAACCCACAAGCAGGATTCAAGCACAAGAGCTGTCTCCCCAGTTTTGTACCCCAGGACCTGGTATTCAGCAGTACAGGGCCTCTGACAGTGGACACAAAACATAGCCATTGCGACTAGCAGCCGTTGAAAGCCTTCTGCTGAACAAATTTGTCCAGTCCTCTTTGAAGGTCATCCAGATTGGTGGCCATCGCTGCTTCCTGTGGGAGTGAGTTCCATAGTTTAACTATGCACTACATGAAGATGTATTTAAAATTATTTCCCTTGAATCTTCCAACATTCGGCCGAATCGTCCAATCCAAGTGCAAGAGCAGCCTCCGCTCCTGAGGTTTCCATCAACTGCACCCAGAAGCTTTATTGAGAGAGGGATGAAAACTTCTCTCTTAGCCCCATTAGCCACAAAACGTAAAATTTTATACACCTGTATTTCTCCTTTTGTTTGCAGTGGGGATTTTTGTGGGGTGGGTGGGGAATATCTATTCGTTCTCCTTATGTCTTTGCTCTCCCATGGCGGCTGTTGTGGTCCCCCCCCCCACAACAACTCCAAAATTAGTTGGCCAGAAATGCAGCAATTGCTGAGCTGAAGAGGAAGATTACAACCCAAATCTGCCTTTGCGAACAGATGGCAGGACGAAAGGAAGCACAACCTTTGTCCCAAGGTAGATCACAGGCTTTAATCTCTCTCTCTCTCTCCCCTAGATAACAGAGTTTTTGATATACAGTCTTCCCTGCAGACCAATCCTGTCTGCTGGAGTGTGAAAAGCAACACAAGAGATGAAAGAGTTCCTGGGTGGTGGGAGGGAGGGCGGCCTTTGCCAGAGCTAGGCAGATCTTGCTTGCGATTAGAAGTGGGGGAGCCAGAGATGGCTGAGGAAGTTATTTATGGAGGTTGCATCCTGACACTAGATATGGGAGCCATCAAAGCAACAGGGAGAACTCCTAACACTAGAACTTGTGGACATCAAATGAAGCCGGTCACTGGAAGATTCAGGACAGATAAAAGGACTTCTCATTTTTAAAGTTTGTTGGAAGCTGCCCAGAGTGGCTGGGGAAACCCAGCCAGATGGGTGGGGTACAAATAAATTATTATTATTATTATTATTATTATTATTATTATTATTATTGATGCAGCATATAGCTGAACTTTTGAACTTGTTCCCACAGGAAGCAGTGGTGGCCACCAACCTGGCTGGCTTTAAAAGAGGACTGGACAAATTCATGGAGGATCAGGCTAGCGTTGGCTACTAGCCATGATGTCAATACTCTGCTTCCACAGTCAGAGGCAGCAGTGCCTCGAATACCAGATGCTGGAAACCACAGAAGGGGAGAGTGCTCTTGCCCTCGGGTCCTGCTTGCTGGTTTCCCACAGGCATGTGGTTGGCCACTGTGAGAACAGGATGCTGGACTAGATGGGCTATTGGCTTGATCCAACAAACTCTTCTTATGAAAATTAGAATTATTCTGCTCTCTTTGTATATATTTTGCTTGGTTTTTCATCATTGCTTCTGCTAATGCTGGGAATGGTTGAAGGTATGGCTGCTAGTGGCAGGCAGAGGACACTCCCCCCCCCAACCCTGCCTGAAGTTAGGAGTTGTCTTCAAGAGAGAGCAGGGAGGCAAATGATTCCCATGTCTTGAACAAGGATCCCACCCTCCTCTTTTGCTGTTATGACTTAGCTAAATAAAGACTCCAAATACATAGAGAGAGGAGTTGGATTTGACTCAAGAGGCATTTATTTGCATTGGGTCCAGGAGTGATCAGTGATGTGAAAGTGGGTCTGGAGGGAGAACAACTCTCTTTGGACCATTTAGCAGCGTGTTTGTGCATTCCGCAAGGAAATTTGACGAAAACCAACAGGAGGTTCTAAATCGGGGCTCCAGGAGAAACAGAGCAAATAAAAAACACTGTTCCAAGCCAGTTTGATGTGCTTTGCATATGACGTCACCAAATACTCTCCAAAGGGCAGTTTGCACAGCTGAAAATGCTTTCTCTGGAATCGGCAGAGATGCTATTCAAGCAGTGACATTGTCCAGCAATTGGCTGGAAGCTCCTTTTTTTTCATGCCGCTAATAATTTGCCTGGGAGCGCTACTTTTATTAGTCAAAAGCCAGTGTTGTATAGTGGTTAGAGCAGGGGAAGCCAACGTGATACTCCCCCAAAGTTGCTGGACTCAAACCACCCATCAGCTCCCAGGCAGCAGATCCAACAGTGAGGGAATGATGGGAGCTGTAGTTCAACAACGTCTGGAGGGCCACAGGTTTGGGAAGGTGGTCTGTCGGGCTAGAAGTTAAATGCCCTGGGTTCAAGTTCCCACTCAACCATGAAATTCACTGGGCGACCTTGGGGCAGTTGCTGCTTCTCAACCTAACCCTACCTCATAGGATTGTTGTGAGGATTTTTTTAAGGGTGTTGCGTATCCACCACCTTGAGTTTCTTTGGAGAAAAGGCCAGGTATGAATGCTGTTTTTGTACTGTTTACATTTTAAACTGCACATTTATCTCTTGCTATTTTAATCAGAGTTTCTCAAGCAAAAGGGGGCAGGGAGATGGGTTCTTCTCTCTGAAAGAGCTTACAATCTAAATCATAACTAAAGTGAAGGGTGAAGAGAAACTGTATAATATTTTGTAAGTAATGGAGTTGTAAGTGCTATTGTGCAGACTAGATCAGAGCCAGAATGAAAGGTCTCTGAGCGTACCAAAGGAAAAACAGGTTATAAGTGTTATTAACATGAACAGTGCTCTCCTCCTGCCCCCCATCACAGCTCTAGCCACCTAGAATGGGGGAGCCAATGGGGAAAGCTGTGGAGGAAGGATCCAGCACAGCACTGGATCATGCCTGGCAAGTCTGTCAGGACAACGTGCTGTAATATACGGTAAATAGCCAACATTGGTGAAATGGGTAGTATTTCTCAGCAGCAGCTTAGTCTTCACAGATGCTAGGTGTGCTTTGTGTATCTCTTACGTCATCTGATGCTACTGGCAGAACTGTGTGATTGCCTGGTCTTGCGTTTTAAAGTTTGGGTTCGATTTAAGGAGCAGGGGAACTAACTCTTCTCCATGCTTTAGATCAGTCACGAAATGCTGGGGAAGATCCCGGTCCTCAAGAACCTTCGCCACAGAGAGAAACAAGAAGGCAAGGATGTTGCCCTCAAGGACGAACAGCGAGATGTTCCAGCTGCTGACAAGCCAGTGAGAGTTGCCAAGAAGAGCAGACCTGAAAGTAGCAGTTTCCAGGATCAGGCCAGCCTGTCCCAAGCAAGTCCAGAAGGTGGGGCATCACCAGACAGCTCTCCCCTCCCTGATTCACCTGTCGCTGTGTATGTGGGCAGCATTCCTCAAGGGACCAGAGTGGGCGAGTTAAAGGATGCCCTGAGACAGTGCCACGCAACCCCTGCAAGACTGACATGGCAAGGAGCACAACACCGGGCGTTTCTCAATTACAGTGATAAAGCCACAGCTGATGCTGCTGTTGTGGCTCTACAGGGCTTAAGCCTCCATGGTAGTCCACTGAGAGTAGAATTTGCCAGGAGCCAGCTGAGCAAAACAAGAAGCAGGCCCAGGTGAAGCTGAATGGACAAGAAGGTGCAGATCTGGGTACAACAATGGAGTACAGCGTGCTTGAAAGGTTTTCAGGGTTGGGTGATCTTATCGATCTTGGAGGCTACTTCTTTGGACAGGGACCCTGAGTCTTCACAAAAATAACTGGTATTTTAATGAATGCCGAGGCTTTAGAACAGATTTTTTTTTAGCTACTCCAGATGTTGGATTCCAACTCCCATCAGTCCCAGTTAGCATAGCCAGCACTCAAGGATGATAGGAGCTGTAGTCTAGCAAATCTGGAGGGCCATGGATTCCCCACAAGCTACTCAAAGCTACATTACCCAGAATCTTCAGCAGGGGGCAGTGTCAGGGCTTGGTCTACATGGCAGAACCAATGAGTCTGCCGTCTCTGCATGTTCCCTTAAGTAGAGAACTAGCACATCAAGAATAGTTCTAACCCAGCCCATTCCCTGTTTGCTAGCTTTATGCTGACAGGGAGGTGTTTTCTTTCAGTTTTTAAAGATGGTGGAGCAGGCAAAGATGTGATACGCTCCATCACCACAGACAGAGATGGAGAAGTCCCTTCTAGCATATCACTGCTCTTGACACCTTGTACTTCTGCTGGTATAAATCAGTTTAAATCACTTTGAATTAACCATGTAAACATACATTCTTTGGAGAAACCATTTAGACCACTTTGTGCAAATTCTATTTGGCCATGGTATTGCTTGATGAATCAAAATTATACGCACCTGCCCAGCTCTCTGCTGCTGCTCCCTTTATATCCATTTGCTATTTTGCTGCATTCAGATATGCATTATAATACTTGATATTTGAGTACAACTAGGGGTGGCTTGCTACTGCATTAGAGCTCCCATCATCCCTGACTATTAGGCCATGCTGGCTGGGGCTGATGGAAGTGAGAGTCCCACAATATTTGGAGGGCCGCAGGTTCCCCATTCCCTTATGAAAGAGGGGAATGCCTCTTCTGAATAGAGGCATTCTTCTGTCTCTTCCAGGCAGCAGAGAATGCTGCTTTCGAAATGAGGGATAGGGGACCTTGTGTTGCTGGACTACAAGTCCCACCATCCCTGACCATTAGCCATGCTAGCTGGGGCTGATGGGGAACGTGGTCAGACAACCTCTGGAGAGCACCAGGTTCAGAAAGGATCCTCTGTGGGGAAGAGTTGATGTGAAGAGTACATTTAGAATGCATGTGCACAAATGCCTTTTACAGAATAAAACTAATCTCTTGGATTTCCCCTCCCTCTCTAATTGTATGTTTCTTTGCTTCCTGAAAAACTGGTGGGATTGTGGCTGAACCTTTTTTTCCTAAACAGAAGCTCTTTTGCAGCCAATCTCAGGCAAAAAGTCAAAATAAGCATTGTGATGTTCTCTTTCTTTGAAAAAGAAAATACAAGAGTTGGGAATATTTTTCATAGCTCCAGGATGTACTCTTAAGTATATTTTAAGCCCATTATGATGCCCCAAGAGAGGCAGACCTTTCAGAAAGCATTAAAGAAAACCTTTTCAAGGTTGTAGAGTTGCTTTCTGGGCAAAATCCCACAGCCTGTTCTGCCTTCTCTTTTTTGCAACCCCCCCCCCCCCTTTTTGCCTTAGGAAAACAAAAGCTAAAAGCAATTATATTGATGCCCTGCAACAGTTTGAAAGAAACCAACACAATGGGAAAATGCCTCTTCCCTTCCCTTCTTTTTTCCCCAAGAGCTTGAGCACTAGGAATGTAGGAAGCTGCCTTATACAGACTCAGACCATTGGTCCATCTACCTCAGTGTTGTCAACACTGACTGGCAGCAGCTCTCTGGGATTTCAGGAAGTTCCTTTTCCAGTCCCGCTTAGAGGTGCCTAGACTCAAACCTGGGTCCTTCTGAGTGTAAAGCAGTTGCTGTGTCTCTGAGCCACTGCCGCTCGCCATATTATACTACAAGAGCTTATGGCTTACATCCAGGGTTCTCATCCTATACAGAGGAGACCCATTCAAAATAATGAGTGTAGCTAACTCTGAAGTTGTAATTAAACTAAGTTGTATTCAGAGTTAGCCACCTACTCCTAGGATAGGGAACATGTGACCCTCCAGATGTTGTTGGGTCTCCAATTCCCATCAGCCCCAACCTGTATAGCTAATGGGCAGGGATGGTAGGAGTTGTAGTTGAACAATCTCTGAAGAGCCACCCCTCCCTGGAATAATCCAAAGAACTGTCCTGTGTGAGCTCCATGCATCGAAAGGGGCTTCTATCCTGCTCTTCTTAAATAGTAACACCATCTTTCCATGCCGCCCTGCAGATATCGCATTGCAAGCTTCTTTGGAAATTCTGCAAAATTTCAAATGTAATTTCTGATGCAGTGGGAGATGTTCAGAAGATGGGAACCAACATTTTTCTTGAGTGTGGTAAACACATACCACCTCCGCCCACTTTAAGTACCGGTAATTCTTTGGGTTGGGGACCATGGTTTCCAAAAAGCATGGTGATTTTCAAGTCAGATGATCCAAAGGATGGTCCCTTTCCTGTTCTATGCACTGGTTTTTTAATCTATGGAAACCTCTGTGGGGAATAAAAATATAGCTAATCAGCCAGGAAAATAGAAAATAAAATTGCAACATTGTTTAAGCAAATGATTTTACCAATTAATAGCCTGTGGGTTGAGTAAAATTGGAGTCCCTGGTGGAGAGCAGGTGTGTATTTTTGCTTTCTTTTTAATTTTATTTCCCTATAAATAGAATAAACAAAATGGTGAAATAACTTGCATACAGTGGTACCTCTGGTTACAAACTTAATTCGTTCTGGATGTCCGTTCTTAACCTGAAACTGTTCTTAACTTGAGGTATGACTTTAGCTAATGGGGCCTCCCGCTGCCGCCACGCCGCCACCACACGATTTCTACTGTCATCCTGAGGTAAAGTTCTTAACACGAGGTACTACTTCTGGGTTAGCGAAGTCTGTAACCCGAAGTGTTTGTAACCTGAGGTACCACTGTATATGAGAGTATGTGGATAACGCATTATCCAAAATATTGACTTAGGCCATTAAAATACAAATTTTTGGTAGAATACAAAACATAAAATAAAAACATCCATGTAGCTATGATATAGTAGCCTTTCCAGTATCTGAGAAAGGTGTGGTAGTGGTTTTTCCCTATTGTGAAATGGTATCAGCATTGACAACTGCGTTTCTTACTTCCTTGCAGGTAAGAAGGCTATAATGTGCGAGGAATAGAGATATTGTTAAAAAGATATTGCAGCTAAGTTCACCAGATGGCAGGAGAATGTGGGTTGTTCATTTTCTGGGACACTGGCATAGCATACATTATGAAATCAAACCAGACAGAAGTAAAATTGTATTTCTTATTTTGTCCCCAGCACATCCTTAATCTGTTTGTCAGTCTTTCTAAGAGAGCTGTTTCCCACACCAATTTGTACCAGTTAATTACCATGTGGTGCTTAAAGCTTGCCACTGTCCCTGCCTTATAAACAGCATGTAGAAAGGTATTCCAGATGGTGGGTGCAATTTTGACCATTGCCCATGTTGACTGGGGCAGATGAGAGCTCACCAATAACTGGAGTGCCACAGTCTTGCAAAAGAGAAAAGAAAAATACCTTCCTCTTGTTTTGGTAAGAATTTTAACAGTTGCTATATTAAGAGCTGGTTGCCTTCATAGATGATTTCTATGACTTTGGACTGTTTCATTTACAGAAAGCAAAGTTTTCATCTCCAAAAGGAAACAATCACTCAAGTTGTTGATATATGGGAGTCATTCTTTGCTGCTGCGTGTAAACAGGCACAGCAATTCCTATTGTACATAAACTCCTGGTTCCTTGCAGATCCCCAGGGAAGCATTATTATATCCTGCTTCTTCCAGGTGTGGCTTTGCTTGCTGACCATTAGATTTGGAGAGCTTTTCACAGAAAGGAGTATATCCCAATACCTTGGGGCTATTTCTGGCATTTCAGGATTCATTTCCATTCCAAACAGCAAGGGGACTCAAAATATGAAGTGCCAGGAAATGGAGGGAAAACTCCAGAAATACTTCTTCTTCTTTTTTTAAGAAACCTAAATGAATTGTCATAATATGATTTAAGAGCAAATGTCTGCCTGGCTAAAATTCACCAACATGTCCCCGTTTTGAGGAACGTCCTTGTAAATGCATTTACAAAAGTGTCAGCATCATAAAGGTACACAGGTCCTTACCTTTAAAATAATAAATCTTTTTTATAAAATAATAAATCTTTTTTAAACACTTTATGGCTAGAACTCTATGCAGGTTTGCTCGCTTTCAAATAAACTTGCATTGGATCAGCTGGTAAGTTACAGAGTTTTCCAAAGTCACTCACTTCTTAGCAGTCATAAATTCCATGAGTGGCCAGGAGGTAGCGCAATTGGTGCATCAAACATCCATTGAAATCTTAGGCCATGCATCTCCGCACGGTTTTTAAGCGTCTATCTTTCCCTCTCCTACATTCCCCAGTTTGTTTGGTTTTATGTTTACGGTTTTTATATTTTATGGTCTGTTTTACTGGTAACCACCGTCAGTACTCTTTGGGGTAGAAAAGTAAGTTAGACGTTATTTAAGTAACCAAATAAAACTGATCATAAAAAGTCATACTAATTGAGAGGTTTGGTATGTGGGCATGAGGGGGGGGGAGCAGGGAACAGGGAGCTATGGTCTAAGTAATGTTCCAAGGAAACATCGGAAAGGGGGGGTCCAAAAATGTGATACAGTACTGAAATTGTGCCAGATTTTGAATTCAGTAAGAATTAAATATCTGCACCTCTTGATTAGTGTGTCTCACTGCTGACATAACCATTTCTCCTTGATTCCTCCCTCTGAATTTTAACAAGGACTGATGCAGGCTGTGGTGTATACCTTGTAGAGCTGTGGTATTCTGAATCAACACATCAGGGCCTCATCCAGGCCCTGCCCCAAGCTATATTTACCTTTTACCTTGAATGTTTATCTTGCAAACCGCCATGAGATCTTAAGATGGTGATACGTGTCTAATAAATAAAATAAATAAATAAAATGTTTGGGTTTTATTCTTTATTAATTACATTTACCCCTTGATTTTTCTCCAAGGAATTCCAGGTGGCATATAGTGTTCTCTTCATTTGTTTTAATCATAACACCCCTGTGAGGTGGGTTATGCTGAGTGAAAGTGACTGCCCCTAGGTCTCCCAATGTGCTTCATGACTGAGTTGTGGGTCTATACCTGGGGTCTTCCCAGTCCTAGCCCAACACTCTTAATGCAATGGCCCAAAAATCCATTGCAAGCATAGAGGTTTATATACAACTAAATTGCATTCAATGGGGTTGCATCCATGCTATCTGTTTAAAGTTCTCTTTAAACAAGCACAGCTTCTCCTCAAGAATCCTGGAGAATAGTTCGTTAAGAGTGCTGAGAGCTGTTAACCCTCAGGGCACTATAGTTCCCAGAACCCAGAACAAGCCACAATTCCCAGGATTCTTTGGGGGAAGCCACGCCTGTGAAGGTGGAATGGGCCAGGACTGAAAAAGTGCTATATAGTGTGACCTGGATCTCCTTTGAGTAGAATTTAGTGTGCTCCAAAGGAACTCTTTCATGTTACGATGCCTTCCATCTTCACTTTGGTGTGATGGGGACTAAATCCAAGTGTGCAGGAGGAGTCTATAAAAAGCTGCCCTCCTCCAGGGAAATGAATGGAGGCTCCCTCATGAACGCTAGAGAACATCCAGTGCTTCGTGGTGTGGTATGTAATGGCAGCTACCAGGCCCCCTGAAATGCGTTCACAAGCCAGTAAAAATGTTCATGACTGTCAGACAGCTTGGGGTGGAGGGAATCCAGTTGGCAAATCCTTGTGCGAAATAAATATTCCCCCTCCCCTATTACCCCTGCCATGGTCTTTGCAAAAGAACAGGGTGACTGCTGTCATGTGTGGCTTAAACGGACCATAACCAGACACACTTGGTGTCTGATTCCCAGCAGAGATGTGGATTCTTGCTGCGATAAGAATAGACCTGGTGGGACAAGACTGCATTGGAGTCTGTAAAGTTTTTGGAAGCTGGGTGGGTGGCCCATTCCTTTGTCGTCAACATTGGTCTTCATGACAGCTTCATGGGTGCCCTTGAATTCAATGCAATGGTGTATAAAACACCATTGGTGGCTGCACAGCAACAGCTGAGAGCTCATGATGATGATGATCTATTTTTTGTACCCTGCCCATCTGACTGGGTTGCCCCAGATACTCTGGGCAGCTTTCAACAGAATATAAAAGAACACAACAAAACATCAAGCATTGAAAGCTTCCTCAAACATGGCTGCATTCAGAAAGTGATATAATTGTTTATCTATTTGATATCTGATGGGAGGGTGTTTCACAGGCGGGCACCACTACCAAGAAGGCCCTCTGCCTGGTTCCCTGCAACTTCACTTCTCTCAGTGAGGGAACCACCAGAAGGCCCTCAGAACTGGACCTCAGTGTCCAGGCTCAATGATGGGGATGGAGATGCTCCTTCAAGTATACAGGGCTGAGGCCGTTTAGGGCTTTAAATGTTCCATATTCAGGGGCAGCCTACCACTGGAAGCCAGTTACTGGGGACAGGCTCAAAAGCGTACAGGGGTATTGCCTACTTGGGGTCTACCTGTAGCAGTGTCTGTTCAATACACATGGAAGCCCAGATCAAAAAGCATGGGGAAGGCTCTGTCTTTGCAGGGGCAGAGGCCTGGTGGGGTGAATGTGCACTCATCCACTCTAGAAAGCTTGGGGCCTTATCTTCACTTCCCTGTCAAAAGGTGCATTGCATGAAAAGGGGACCTGCCTGTTTAGTCTGAGCTCAATGGCCTGTGGAATAGTTGGCATCCAAGGCATCTTCTGGTTTGGCTGGTTCACTCAACACTGAGCCATCTGTAACCGTGCAAAATCTCACCTGGAGCCTGCAGACCAAGCCCCTTGGCAGGCATGCCCACAATTCAAGATGTGTCATCTTTCCTCCTTCCTTGTACAGGAGATCAGGCTTGACACTTTATTGTCTGACATAAGGCCAAACCTAAATGCTTCTTCATCATAATCATGACCCTTTTTCTAAGTGGCCTACATACATTAAAAGATAAGACAGTCCCTGCCTGCCAGCTTACAAGGATACATGAGGGGAAAGGGATGGGGAGGAGAGAAGAACGAAAGTGCTGGAGCACCTGCTCTTTCTCTGGCCAACAGAAGGGAGCGAGCTGGCCTGCCCTTTGCCTTGATGATGTTCATCCTGGGAAGCTAGGGGCAGAGGCCAGCATTTGCCTTGCTTTGCTTTCCCCTCCCAGTTAACTGGCCTTTGGAGCAGAGTGTTCTTTCAGGGAGGGAAGGGAGGAAGCAAGTTTCTGGGACCAACAGATCTAGATGATAATCAGGAGAATAAACCTGCAGTTTTCATTGGGGGATTTGAACTCCACCACTCTGCAAACATGTACACTTCCTAGAAGGGATGGTTGATTCAATGTCAAGTTTCTCTGGAATCTGATTGAGAGGTATTTTTTAGGAAGGGGGGGAGGTGAAGGTGACTATTGCTTCTTGAAAAATTTCTCCAGTATGCATTGACATTTCCTCCTCCCCGCTCCCCCCGGACTTCTTGCTATTACTATTTCAGTTAGGGCTTGTGATGGGGTATTTTTCTTTCCTTTTCTTTTCGCTCGATGAATGTTGCTTTACTAAAAAAAGAAAAATCCACACACAATCCCAACCTGCAGAAATGGCCAGCTACATGCCAAGCTCAATCCACACAGCGAGGCATTTGTGCCATTAATTGCCTCTGCCGGAGTTATTGATAATTTTGTTGTAAGCTGAGCCGAGAGAAATCCCCCTTGGGCTCAGAATAATCAGGGCTGAGAAGAAACAGCTTCGTGAAAGGTAGATCTCCAGAGAGGCCGGGAACTGTGGTGGGTCCAGAGAGGAGAAGAGGGAGGTGTGTTCAGGGGGAAGGGAGAGGGAGTCTTTAACTAGGATTTCATGCTAGTTAATTTCAGCCCAGATTGAGCTAAAATTGAAAGGCAAAATGATAACATCCAGAATCCATTGAGAAGTTTCCCAGTAAGGATCCCATTGAAAGAAATAGGAGGGGAGAGAGAAAAGATTGGGGAAGTGTTGACCACTAGATCCAGAGATTCTACCGCTGGAATATTATTATTGTCAGCAGCATCAACATTGAATTTATTACCCACCACCAGCAGGTCCCAGGGTGGGTTTTAACAACATTAAAAACAGTTAAAACAAATTACATTCGCAGGAATAGGGTGGGTCTTGGATAGAAAAATTATGTAGTAATAGTAGTAGTAATTAATAATTATAACCTGCCCTTCACCCTAAGGTCCCTGAACAGGTAACAGCATTAAAACACAATATTAAAAACAGTTTAGAACAACTATGAAAAGAAAGCTTTCTTCTTGTTTTTGTAGGCCATTGGCAGCCAATGGTTGTTTTTGTTTTTAATTGTACCATTTTTAAAATCATCTGCAAGTAATTTCAAATTGCAACTTTTGGGAAGTATCTCCAGTATATTAATAATTATTGTTAATCATAATAATACTCCAGGATATAACAGTCTGTGAAGTAAGGTTTAGGGTCAGAGAAGGAGCAAACATGATGGGTGAAATTGGAAGATTAGAGGACTGAAATCTTGTACCCACATACCTGGTGATGAGACCTGCTAAGCTCAGTGGACTTATTTCTGAGTAGGCTGGCAAGGGGTTAGCACTGTTAATCTTACAGAAAATTATGAAAAGTTTTTGAAAAATCAGTATCCACTATGTAAGTACATGGTGAGAACACGCCAGTTTAAGAATTGGATGCTTGAGGATTTTGTTCAGCTTGCATTTTAAAGTGGAACAGTTTGCACTTCCCAGAAAAATATGTGAATTGGAATACAGTTATCCTTTGGCTTTTGCACTTATCCAGACTTTTGGGATATATTTCCCACCTCAAAGCATACCAGAATGCATTGTAGGTGTATTTTTGCAAAATTACTGTGCATTTTAAATGAAAGAGTCGCAAATGGGATCGGATGGGATTGGACAAATTTATGAATGAAGACATGCAAAAGTGAATCATCTATCCCTACCTCTGTGTTCACACACAGGTCCCATTTATGAAATGAAGTTTGTGTTGGAGATCTTCCCAGTGGATGCCCCTTTTAAAAAAAGGCTACCTTTCCCTTATTATTTTCCACAGGGCTGTTATATATTCCTTTAAAATGAATTGCCATTGAAGTTGCTGAAGAAGAGTGCATCTCTGGCATTATAAAATCCTAAATCTTGGAGGAAGATGGGAATAATTGCCCAAAATGCTCAATTAGTATGAACTTTGTGCAGATTAAATCCCTTTTGAAACTACTTCTTTAAAACAGAGAGACAGAGAGGGAGCGAAGTAACTGTCATAATCATATTCCTTTTTACATGTATCACTTCAAGTTATTTGAATCAATTTGCATATGTTTTGTAGATGAAAAAAAACAGAAAGTAGAATTTTGACTGGATTTGGACTGTTTCACAGATGGAGGGGGAAATGTTGGCATTGGAGTTAAAATGCTCATCAGAAGTTGAACTTAATGCAGATTCCCTACTGGAGGAGCACACTTCCATATTTTCCATCTTCAAAGTATCACTGTGTATACATTCAGGGTAAAGTGTCCTCCACTAAGCAGGGCATTTAGTGCACACTTCAAGGTTCTGTTGATGCATTATAGTTCCTGCCCTGATCAGCACACTGGACTAGATGTTCCCTTTCTTCTCTGTCATTTTATGTGGAGCTCTTTGGAATGAGACCAATGGCTCAACATCCTGCTTCTAGCAGTAGCCAGCTAGATGGTGGCATTAGCACTTGACACTGAATCTCTGTTGGAGGAGCAAACTTTACCCTGAATATAATCACACTGAGGCTCTGAATTTAGGAAAACAATAAAGCTACACTTATTATAGGAAATGCATGCTTGATAGGAAAGAGCCCTCATTCTGTCCAAAGTAGGTAGATGAGCCTTGAGCCATGCTTGCTGTTGCATCTCAGCAGGAGAGAAACAAACTGTTTCTCCTCTCCCCAGGTGAGAAGCAGAAAACAGGAAATAAGCCAAGCACCAGAGGGAAGGTCAGAACAAGTCAGAGAGGACAGTCTAGGACAGGCTTCCTCAACCTCAGCCCTCAAAATATTTTTGAGACTACAATTCCCATCATCCCTGACCACTGGTCCTGCTAGCTAGGGATCATGGGAGTTGTAGGCCAAAAAACATCTGGAGGGCCGAGGTTGAGGAAGCCTGGTCTAGGAAACATGGAGGTTCCTCTCTCTAGCTACTCCTAGTGCAGACGCATCAGTCCCTGGTGCAAGCTGAGTTGCATCCCAAACCTTCCAACAAAAAAGCAACAGCTTTTGCATAGATATTTGGAAGTGGGAAGTTAGGCTTATTTTTTGCATTGTATATTTAGGATAATTTGTCTGTAGCATGGAGACTTGGGGCTGCACAGGTGGCACTGTGGTCTAAACCACTGAGCCTCTCGGGCTTGCTGATTGTAAGGTCGGCAGTTCGAATCTGCGTGACAGGGTGAGTTCCCTTTGCTTTGTCCCAGCTCCTGCCAACCTAGCAGTTTGAAAGCATACCAGTGCAAGTAGATAAATAGGTATCATTGTGGTGGGAAGGTAAATGGCATTTCTGTGCGCTCTGGCTTCCATCACAGTGTCCTGTTGTGCCAAAAGTGGTTCAGTCATGCTGGCCACATGACCTGGAAAAACTGTCTGCAGACACATGCCGGCTCCTTCAGCCTGAAAGCGGAGATGAGTGCTGCACCTCAAAGTCAACTGGACCTAACCGTCCAGGGGTCCTTTACCTACTCAGAGCAGACCCACTGAAGTTAATAATTGACTAACTTGGGTTCATTCATTTCAGTAGGTTTACTCTGAGTAAGATTTAACTGGTGGCAATGATTTTGTAGTGGCCTACGTTCTTGTACTGAAAATATTCCAAAACAAGTGTTGGGAGTTTACAGTGAAGCAGTACTAGGCTGCCAGTGCAGACCTTCAAGGGACAAGAATCAGTGATTCAGTCATCCAGGACACAAATGAGTGGCTAGACTTTTCTAACTTACTTCTGCTTCTCTAGACAGGGAAGGGTATAACAGAGCTGCCCAACATTCATTCAACAGTAATACAAATAGCAGAGAACTTAGCCTGGAAACCTGGAAGCAAATATAACATGACAAGAAGCAAACCAGTTTGATTTGTAAGTTAGCACAGGAATAGATTCAGCATTAGCAAGGTTGAAGCATCGTGGCACCATATTCCAAGGTGCAAATCTGTTTTCTCAGATAGAACTACAAAGAATGAGTAAAACTATGGTCTTAATGAGCGATTCCTAGCAACTGGTAGTCAGAAGCCCACTGCCTTTGGTTGTGGAGGTAGAACATAGCCATCATGGATAGTAGCCTTTTTAAAAAGCCTTCCAAATTGGTGGCCATTACTTTCGCATTTGGGAGCAAGTTCCATAGTTTAACTACATACCACATAAAGGAGTATTTCATTTGGTCTATCCTGAATTTTCCAACATTCAGTTTCATGTCCATGAGTTCTAGTGTTAGGAGAGGGAGAAAAAGTTTCCTCCATCCACTTTCTCCATGCTATGCATGGTTTCACAACCTTCTTACCTACCTCGGGTGTGTGTTCTCAAATATTATAAAGAACATAAGCAGCGGCGGACTTTGGGCGTTCAAATTTCAGCGCCACCCTGTATGATGCCAAAAAATGGTCTTCGTCCCCGTACCCTCGCCTCTCTCCTTCCATTCGAAGTCATTGTTACAGCACCCTCTCAGCTTGGTGTGTATATTGCACTTAATACTGCAATCCTATACACACATATCTGGGAGTAGGTCTCAGTAAACACAGCGGAGCTTGCTTCTAAGCAAACACGCCTAGGTCTGCATTGTCAGTAAAGTTGAAAACAATGAGTCAAATCAGTCATGCCTTAAGTCCCATCAAGTTCAACAGGAACTAAGTTCAGATCACTTGGTCTGCATCCAACCCAATTTTTTTTAAAAAATCAATTATTTGTTTGTTTTTTAATGAAAGATTTTCTTGATTTACAAAAGTGTGTGGAATGTCTCTCTCTCGTATTTTTTCCCCATGTAACATTTTTACAAATCAGTTTCATTTGTTGAGACATTAGGAAGAAAAGGGGGAAATTATTTGTAAAGTGTATTGTTTAAACTTTAGAGGATTATTTTTTAAAAGATTATTGTTTAAAGGTTACTTTTCAAGCGTCATGAGGCCTGTGAAAACCTTGAACAGAACACTGGAAAGAAGAGCCATGCTTAACACCTCTAACTGCACAGCTGGGTAAAATATTATTTGCATGTTTCTTTCTTTCTTTCTAGCTCCAATAAACACCTAAGGTTGCATCTGACTAAGTCATACGCAGAGGAGACCCACTGAAAGTGATTGTGTTAAGTCCATTGGGTTAAATGTATTTGTTTGAGTGTAACTAACTTGGATGCAGCCCTTAGAGACTGACTTTTCAAAAGCAGAAGCTTCAAGGAAAGACCTGAAACTTCTGTAAGAAGTGCAGGAGCCCTCACCTGAAGCAATTGGCTCTTTTCTTTCCATGGTACACAGAGAGGGAAAGAAGACATGCTATAAAGGTAACACTTTATAGCCAAATGAGGATTTAAACCCATGTCTCCCTAGTCCTAGTCTGACACTCTAACCACTACACCAAACTTCATTTTAAATCTCTGTAACCCAACCTTGAGATCTTGTGGTGAAGCATGTGTAAGAAATCAAAATAAATAATAAAAATATATTTATTATTGCCCTTACTGTTTAGAATTGCATTTTTTTTTTATTTGCTCACTGAGTGGCTTATATCTATTAAAAAATTGGCTAGATGCAGGAATCTTTTTTAATACCTCAAAATCTGTCACACTCTGCACATGCTTTCTTGATCTGAAACAATCCAGTCCAGAATTCTCCCACTTGTATCTACCCTGAAAGCAAACTCCCCACGCTGGAGCCTGGCACAATCATTCTGAGAATAGAAAGGTAAAAGGGTAATTTTTTTCTCGCTGTCTTCCCTACACACGGAGATCCAAATGTACAGCTGGGATCATTTGGTGCCCCTCAACGACAAGAAACATCCTAAGTTGGGGACCTAATCTTCTCTGAGTTTTATTCTCAGTATGCCACTACACAGATGTCTATGCCACACGATGATTTATTTACGGGTTATACAATTTGTGAAGGCTGTGTATGAATACCATACATTGTTTTTTATTTGCATTCCATTTTTTTTAAAAGGACAAACGTACACAAAAGCAGGGGGTCTAAAACCCCTTCCACTGTCATTACACTTTTATACAGTGCAGAATGAAACTTAAAATAGGTGTGCCACCGAACTGTACAGTCAGGCAAAAGGGGGGAGGGGGAGGAAATGACAAAAGCGTCCTTCATATTTATATTTTTATATATATAATATATAATTATATATAAAACATAGAGAAAATTGCTTTGCCATGCTGCTGCTTTTGACATTAACGATGGTTATTTCACACAGTCCCTACGGCAAATATTGCCAACACATTAACCACTTTAATACTGATTGACCAAGGCTGCTGTTGTGTTTTATTAAAATGTTGAATAAATAAAAGCGTGAGCCTTGTTAATCGTTTCCATTTTTAACCTTTATTTCTCAAAGTGCTTTTTCTTTGTAATTTGGTACTTTACTGTTTAAAATAGGCTTGGGTACGGTCAAAAAGAAGTGGGGTGATTTCTACAGGATCGTGTGATTGAGCACCCAACATCCTCAGTTCTACTGTTGCATTTTCTGTGTGTTTGTGTGTGTGTGTCTGATCCTGCTTTTCAAATCCCCACCAACACCTGAAGGTAGAGAAGGCTTTGGAAACTCAACGCACAATTACGATCTAGGAAAGAAGATATGGGAAGAGCACCGTCTCAGCACTCACTCAGATGTCTGGAGAGTCTGCCATTGCCCTGAACCAGAGGTCAAATATACAATGAGCCATATGTATATTTCATGCTCAGTCCCTAAAATATAAGAAGAGAGGTTACAACTGGAAGCCAATTCTGGTTGCTGAATGAAGGACCCAGTGATGGACACCACATGAAAATGACTGTCGTTCACCATCGCTGTCTGCATTATTTGTGCTGCTTTCCTTTGTACAGCAGATCCCTGACCCTCAAATTTTAGAATCCATTTTCATTAATGATCATTTAAAATTGTGGAGAATTTGGGGGTAGGATATATTTTTAAAAAGCAGAGTTCATTTGAATTCTATTCCTTTTTTTAAGCGGGAGTGGGGAGGAAACCACACAGACTGAAAAGTGGTTTTTGGAATTTTTACCAGATAACTGTTCTGAATGTACTGAGACCCAAGATGAAAGGACAATTGAGTACTTAGTGTTTTGGCATTGTGCTTCACCTTCCCCTACAAAAAAAAAAAAAAAAGCACACACAACGCATCTTTGCTCCTCTTCAAGGCTTCCTTGAGAACAGCGTGTTCCTCTCTGTAGATGTTTTGAATATTCATATACCTCATGAGCAACTATCAGTCTAGCTTCTGGGGAGGTTCTTTGGCTCCTAAAGGGGCTTGTAGAAGGAAGTTCCACAGTTCTATACAGTTTTCACTTGGATCTTTGGGGATTGGCTGCCCCTCCAAGAAAGCTCGGCTCCCCAGCCCTACTGTCACATCACGCAAGGTTTGATGTCTTGGTATGTAACTTGCTGATGGTAGTAAGAGCCGCTACCTCCTGAATGCATGGAAGATGACGCCATGGCGTTGATGGAGAACACAAATTCTTTCCGGTCACACATGCTTGGAGACTGAGAATGGTACCGGATTCCTGAAAGAAAAGCAGAGAGCAGATTTAAGTGACTGGGAAGAAGACATGACACAGAGAGGAGGGGAAAAATATGTCACCCTGGAGATATGAAACTGAAGAATTAGAACCTAGATTATACTTTGCTTCAGCATGAATAGAAACTGTGGTCTGTCTCCAGACCTACTCAGAGGAAACTCACTGGAATTCATTAAGAGGATAGGTCCATTCATGTCAAAGGCTCTACTCTGAGTAGAACTTAGTTGGTGACATCCCGGTGGTCTTGCGTTCCACTACAGGTGTCAATCAACAAAGCTTGAGTGACTATGTTGATAACAAGTTCATTCCTTTAGGGTTATTCTGCATACATGTTAAGCTTTAAGGGTTACCCCTCTGTTGGTCGATTACAGCATTGGCTTTTACAGTAGGAACAGGAGTTACCCAAGCCATTTTACTACCTGTGGCAAAGGACAAGACCATGGGTAGGCAAACTAAGGCCCGGGAGCCAGATCCGGCCCAATCGCCTTCTAATCTGGCCTGCGGACAGTCCAGGAATCAGCATGTTTTTACATGAGTAGAATGTGTGCTTTTATTTAAAATGCATCTCTGGGTTATTTGTAGGGCATAGGAATTTCATTCATCCCCCCCCCCAAAAAAATAATAGGCCGGCCCCCCACAAGGTCTGAGGGACAGTGGACCGGCCCCCTGCTGAAAAAGTTTGCTGACCCCTGGACAAGACTGCATTCACCACGCTGTGCACAAAATCTGACTAGGCTGGTGGTTAAATCCTACCTCAGCACTGGCGATGGAGCAGAGTCCTCATCTGCAACCTAGCGCCGTAAGTTAGCTTAGGGGCTCCAGGGCAGACCACATATCCACATATCCTAGCCACTTTCCGCCCCCCAGAATTTGCTGCTGAGACTTTTTCTTTTTAGTCAAGAGAGCAAAGGCAGCTGCTTCATTCTGCCTCATTGAAGGAATACATAAGGAACACAGGAAGCCTTCTTCTCCTGAGTCAGACCATTGGTTCATCTTGCTCAGTACTTGCCACTATCTGGCAGTGGCAGTGGTTTTGGGCAGGAGTCTCTCAGCCCTACCTGGAAATGCTGGGCACTGAAGCTGGGAGCATCTGTATGTGAGGCCGATGATCCATCACTGAGATGTGTGTGGCCCTTTCCCTGATGTAAGATGCCCAAAGAAGTCCAGCTCTGAGGCAGAGTAGCTGCCTCACATAGATCATGTCTGAGCTTCAGTTTTTTACATTTCCAACACAAAAGGGACATCATGTAAGAAAAATGGGATAGAATTCTCTCCCCTTCCTTCCTTCCTTCCTTCCTTCCTTCCTTTCTTTCTTTCCGTCTGTCTTTCCTCTTTTTCTTTTCTTTTTTTGCTTTCCTCCCTTTTTCCTTTTTTCCTTCTTTCCTTCTCTTTTCCTTTTCAGAACAGATTTTAGAAGCATTTATTTTACTCTAGTGTACTATAAAAGGATACTTTGTATTGGGTACGAACTTTTGTATACCTTTGGTCAAGGATCAATAAATATCTATATTAACAGAAGACTGGAGAGCTACTGCCAGGTATGGTCAAGGATAATAAATGGGTAACAGAACCTGTGCAGCTTGCTATCCTCCACATACTGGGACTTACCAGGTACTTCACAACCTCTATGTTGTGTTTTAGTTGCAAGCAGGGAGCAAAACCTGAAGATTTACTGAGCTTTCATTAGGCTGAAATTAACGTGGGGCAGGGGGAGGCAGAGCGGAGAGAGGATGACGACTTCAGTAGGCCTGAGCTACGTAAGCCAGTGGTCTGACTCAGTAGAAGGGCAGATTCCAATGTGGCTGAGTTCCACTTCTGGCATGCGCGGGTGGAATTTTTGAACACATCTCCCCTTCATCCCTTGAACAGTAGAACCTCATGCCGTATCACAAATTGCTTCTGAAACTCTGTAGTAGTAGTTACAGCAACCTGCAAAGGCAACCTGCCATACAGAAGCCTAGGGTGCTTCTCTTGGAGAAACACAATTCCACAGACTTGTTGCTTGTCTACAACTGGTTACACAATTCAAGTCTGGAGCCTCACCTTCTTCCAACTCAGTTTATGGTGACAATAGGCACCAGTCCACAAGATCTCCCCCTGGGAGGGACTTCATCAACCCCTTGGAATCTGTTAGACCCAACTAGGTGATGTTATGGACTCTGAACTCTGCTGTTCTTAATCAGAGGAAATTCCCACTTGATTGGAATGGGAATTTTGCCCATTCGCAAATAGCAGGATGGGATGGGACAGTCTGTTTCCTGGCTGGCCAAGGAAGGAGGACTGAGGGTTGGGCTTTTTTTTCCTTTTTTCTTTTTGGTGCTTGTGTGTATAGATTTGGCTTTCTTGATAAAGCTGGAGGACTTGCTTTCATTCAAGCCAGAGGAAAAACAAGCCCTGGCTTTTAATTATTTCTAGGGTTAAATTACTACTGTACTCCAATGGAGACTTGCAATGAACATAAACAAAACCTATCAGGTTGTGGACCACAATCAGACATTTTATTAAAAGCAGATATTAACCTTGCTCCTTCTTCTGAAAAGGAACATACCTTTCTTCTACCCACCCATCCCTTTGCATGCTGATGCTACAGGATCAGGGCAGGCCTTTGCAGTAACTTGTGGGGGAAATTATCTGTGGATCCACATCTGCTGATAGTATTTAAATATACTTATTTCATTGTAAAATCTAATCAGTCTGGAACATTGGTTCCTAATTAACAAATTTCATAGAACACTTCCTCACACAGTAACTGGATTACTCATATTTAGTGGTTAACAACTTGCAATGGATAGAATTACCATTCCTCTCTCTTTCAGAATTGTAAACCCTTTCCGTTTTTAAAATAACAGCCCTATCTCTACCCATCTATAGAGCAGTTAACAACACCATATACAGACTGCACAATGGACTTATTTAAGTAATTTTTTTAAAACCCACTTTTGAGCCTATATGACAATAGAATAATTTCTTAATTAATTGGTTGTCCTTTTCATGGTGATTTAACCAAGTAAAGAACTGACAAAAATTAGTAGTAGTAGTAGTAGTAGTAGTAGTAGTAGTAGTCATTGCCTTTTTTAAATGTTGTTTTTTGCATGCCTTCTGTGGCCATCCCCTCCCCCTCCCCCATTTAAAAAGGGATTATTTGGTTTCCAAACTCAGGTGACAGAAGTCAGAATGATATCCAGGATTTATAACTCCCTCATTTGTCCAGAATGTATTTTTTAAAAAATAAAAGGCTCCTCCTCCCCTTTATGTTGCTAAAAAAAACCAGCAGGTTAAAGAAACAGTAGGAGACGTGAGTTTTTATATTTTGAAGGTGAGATGATTGCTATAGTGTGTTTTTTTTAAAAAAGTAAACCCCCACCCCTAGGCTGTAAAAAATAAGCTTGAATTTCCTCCCAACTTTCCATAATTTTTCTCTGTTCATCTCCATTATTTCCCACGCGCCTTTTTGCTCCCTTCTATTGCTGCTAGTTATCCTTAACTCTGCCTGATGCCCCGGACCAAACAGAGGTGAGAAGACCTGTCGGGTCAGTAGACCGCTCCATTTGGAGCAAGGAGGAGCGACCGGAGTCGGAGTCAGAACCAGGGAGTCAGAAGACGGTGGCTCGCCGTGATAACGCCTCCCTATCTGATTGCCCAGCTGCTAAAACTAGAGGGGAGCTGTTAAAATACAAAAGATCCTACCCCCAACCGTAAAGAAAAAATCATCTCTTCTAACAGAAGCAACACCACAGGACCCCACCCGCAAAAAGGCCACAGGGAGGAGGAATTCTTTAAAAGTCTTTGGACTCTGCGCTTTCGCTAGCCGCGGCCTTTCGGCGCATCGGGCTAACTCTTTTTCCGAGCACAACCCTTCCACGTTTGTTTCGGCTATTTTATTTTTTAGGTCTCTGAATGCTTGCACGCTTTTCTTTACTCCCCCCCCGCCCAAAAAAAAAAAATCTTTTGTCTGCTGAAAAGACATTTTCCCTTTTTTCCCCCTACGAATTGGAAAAAGAAAATCAAACTAATGCTTGTCTTCTCGCCTCTTAACACCCCTTATCTTTCCTCTCCAGTGACCGACAGAGACCTTGTCAATTTCCCCTTGCTGGGCTGGTCAGTTTCAAACCATTATTCCCTCCTCTTAGTAAGATCCCTCATCATTCTCATACTATTAAGACTTATTGGGTGAGTGGGGGGTGGATCTCCCCATCCCAATCACCACCGAAAGAGAGTACGCAGTGCATTTTCATGTTTTTTGCAAAATCGAAACTAATCGCGCAGGTCCCTTTTTCTCTTATGGCCTCCGCTGTAAAGATGTCTCGCCCTCCTGGAACGCGAAAGAATCCGGCCAAGGTAAGCAATGTCGAGAATGCAGAGGGGCTGTTCGGAGCTGGGAAGGGGGGTAATTTGGAGAGCAGACAGCCGGGTGGGGGAATAAAATAATAATAAACAAAACCGCCCTAACAAAGCTGGTTGAGGCAAAGAAAGATGTTTTGTCTACAAAGGAGAGTTCAAAAGGGCAACTGAAATTAGGCAGTCAGTAAAATACTGACACAGGATTGACTCCTTTGCAGAGATCAGCTCTGGGAAAGAACGTTTGGGGAGCAATTTTAAGTAGAAGATTGTATAAAGAGAATCAAGAGGTGGAATATATTGGATGGTGATGATGGTTGTTGTTATTATTATCATCATCATCATCATTTTTGAAAATCTTTTTCGTTTCATTGGGAGAAATTGACAGCGCAGTCCTATGTGCATTACCTTCCAGGTAAGTGCGTGTAGGAATGCATCTTTAAGTTCACACTTTGATCACTGCGATATTTTTAAGGGCTTGGTTTTGGCTTGAGCTAGACTAAAATTACTCCTTGTCACCACTGCTGTCGTTAATTGCTGCAGTGGCACTCTGCTCGGTTTTGAATTGATGAGACCGGTCAGTATTAGAAGTGCTAATTCAATAGGATTACTATTAATAATTACAAAAGTCGTTATTGCCTCAAAAGGAGGTGGTGCTAAACCGGGTTAATCAATTGTTGGGGAGAAAAAACAAAACAAGTAGTAACAAGAGTTCTATAGCGTCTTAAAGGTTAACCAATTTTGTCCGCCGTAAGCTTTCTGGGTTGCATCCCACATCGCCAGATAGCTACCACAATAAATGGTAATATTTCAGGTGCCACAGGACTCAGTATCGTTCCTGGTGTTGATTTAATATTAATAATAATAATAATAATAATAATAATAATGGGGACGACAAGGAAATTAATTATACCAACATTTTTCTGACTTCAGAACAATATTTTCATATATACGTTTAAGGCAATTGGCATTAAGATATATTGGCGCAACTTACTTAATGATGTTAATGCAACTATGAACAGGTTTTCTTTCTGCCACGTTTGAGGCAGGAACTACGGACTATGCTGGGATTAATTCTCTGACCCCCAGAAAATAAAACCGAACTTCAACCTTATTTCACAAATCACGCTGTTTCCTGTTTTGAAATATGCTCCTTTCTATGATGTAAAACCGGGTCATGTTTATTAGGGAACCGCAGCGAGGAAATAAAAGTGACGCAATGACAAATCTGTGTACAATTCCAGGGTTTGCGCACATATATTAACCGAAGCGTAGGTAGGTATTGCTGCAACTGTATTTAGACTACACTCCTATTAAAATCAATGGGAATTTCCCTATTTATTCCATAACTGGATCCCTAAAACGCATTACATCTGTATGGCACTATATAAGAGCATTTTTTAACTCAATCTGCAATGTGTCTTTAATGGATTTCACTGGCATCAAACCATCAGCATATAATAGAGTTTCTAGGCTTCTACACATACAATCATTGATAAGGCCCATGGAATATTATCCGCAATGTTATTCGGAATAGTATCAATACGGCCGAAGCAGATTTAATTATTTCTAACGCACCTACTTAATGGGTAGCGGTAAATTTCCCTTAGAGAAGGGGCGCGCGAAGGTGGAGTGGGTAGGAGGGAAACGTCATAAATCCCACAAACTTCAAGTCAACTACTCTGACTAAATGAAGCAAAAAATATAAAAAGGCTCCCACAATATTTATGTACACTGCTTCAAAATACATCATCTTCTCGCATTCTTGAGAACATTGTATTTCTGGGTGCGATTTTCAGAGGGCTAAAAAACTTTTGGAGCTGCCCTCTCGCCTTCTCCACAACTGAATTTATTCCTTTTCTCTATGAGCAAAACAACTGGAGGAGGATTTGCAGCTGAAACTGGGTGGTGGTGGGGAATATCCCCCATTTTCTGCCCACGATCCCTATTTTTCTAGCTATACATCCACAATCCTGCTTGCTCCCCATATCCAGCCCTTTGACCCCTGTTAATCGGCCCTCCCTCGCTCCAATACCCTCTGATCTCACATAACTCTTACGCGCACCCTTACTTCAATTTGGAGCAGCCTCTACCTCGCTCCTAAAGCGTAGCTTTCCCCTCACAGCAGAGGGACTGGCTTCTGATGTCCCTGATCCGCTTGGGTTCATCACTTACCTGGATAACTTATCACCTAACCATACAATCAGGATTTCCCCACATTTTCAAAGCGTACCAGCATTCGTTTAATAGGAAATGGGGTCGAATTGTTTCCAGGCTTATTGGGGGGGGGGGTATTTTTGGTCAGGTGTCACATATTTTAGCCTACATATCCGGAGCTAAAAGTGAACACGGAACTTGATTGTTACGGGTCCTTAAGAAACCTGTTGTTCCGTTGCTTGTAACTGGGTGCTCAGAGGTCCGTTCACCGGCACCCACTCTGCATTTGAGATTTCCTCTGGCCGCCTGCTTTTCTCCCTTTAGCTTTACAGTTCCTGGCTTCGGCTGTTGCCATAACCCCGAACAAAACCTTTAGCCTCTTGTTCTGCGCTAAGCGCTCCCCAAATTCTGGGCATGTTTCCTTCCCGGTTCCAGTTTACGTGCGGCCTGATCGCCGCGCTCTCTCGCGATCTCCAGCCCCCCCCCCGCACGCGCGCGTGCAGGGGCGCCCATCCCCACACCAGCCCGGCCTTACCTTGTAGTTCTGCCGTGTTGTGACTGTTTTGGTGCAAGTAAGGTTGCTCCAGGGAGTGCGTGGACAAGCCCGACGAGAGCGGGTTCCCTGCCGGATTGCAAGGCGACAGAGGCTGCTGTTTGATGTAGGAAGCTCCGCTGTTCAAACCCGGCGCTGCGGAGGGCGCCCAAGCGGACGGCGCCGTGCTGGAATAGACGGAGTGGGGCTCCATCACGCCACCTCCGGGGAGCAGGGGCGAGGCGGGCACCGAGCCGTCGTGGTGACCGTAGTCCCCTCCGGCGGAGCCTCCTCCACCTCCACCTCCACAGCTCCCCATATAGGAATGGTGCGCTCCGTTGGAGGACAAGTGGGGTACGGAGTGGCCGGCCAGTCCCATGCCGTCGACGTTCATCATGCCCAGGGCGCCGCCGTCTAGGGGGAGGCTGTTGGGCGGGCAAGAAGGCCCCTGGAAGCCGTAGCTGTCCGGGAGGTGGTTGAAATTCAAGTTCATCATGCTGTACATGGGCTTGAGGGCCTGACATTTCCGCCTGAAGCCGCGGGGCCTCCGTCGGAAGGAGCCTTCTTCGAACATGAACTCGCTGGCCGGGTCGATGGTCCAGTAGTGGCCCTTGCCCGGCCGGCCCAGCCCTTTGGGCAGCTTGATGAAGCATTCGTTGAGCGAGAGGTTGTGGCGCACCGAGTTCTTCCAGCCCTGGTACGAGCCGCGGAAGAACGGGAAACGGCTCTGCAGGAACTGGTAGATCTCGCTCAGCGTCAGGCGCTTGGACGGCGAGCTCTGGATGGCCATGACAATCAAGGCGATGTAGGAGTAAGGCGGCTTCTCCGGCCGTCGGATGCCCGCGTTGGACTTCTTCGCTTTGGTGCCGCCGCTGCCTCCTCCTCCGCTGCCGCCTCCGCCGCTGCTGCTACTGCTGGGGGTCGAGGAGGTGGTGGAAGACGCCGATTCCATAACTGCTCCCAGCTGCTGCTGCTGCTGCTGCTGCTGCGCCTTGTCGGAGGCTGTCGACATCGGAAAAGCCTCGGCCTCGGCAGGAGGAGGAGGAGGGGGTCGAGAGGAAGGAGCGCGCAGCAGTCCTGCGGTCATCGACGGCTCCCGTTCGCCGCCCCCTCCCTAAAGGACTGGCTCCTGGGCGGAACAGGGAGGGGGGGTCTGAGCTCCCCCGTCCCGCTCCCAGGTCTTTCTCTCTCGTGCGCCCTTGCTTTTCCTCCAGAGAGCTGCGTAAAAGCGCTGCAAGCCGGAATGCAGAAGAAACGGAGCCGATCCCAGTCGCCTTCTCTTTCAGTCCAAGCTAAGCTGCGGGCTCCTGTCCCTGACTAACGGGGAGTGGAGGTGGGGAGACAGAGCCAAGGCCGCGGGAAAGGGAAGAGGAGGGGACAGCTGTCCGCTGGACCCCCGGACGCGAAGCAAAGCCTCCTCTACCTGGAAAAGGCGCGTCTCCAAACCCGCCGCCACCCGCCCCTCTTCCGCACGATCCAAGCCAGCAGAGAGGCTGTGTCCGAGCCTTCTGCTCCTAATCCGGCGTTCCAAGCGGGAAAAGACTTCCTCCTCCTCCTCCTTTTTTCCCTCCTCCTCTTCGCCCTTCCCCCTTCCCCCGTTTCTCAGGCTTCGCGGGAGGCGCGGGCTTTCTCCCCCCCACCCTCCCCACCCCCTGCCTGACCAGCGTTTCCTCCCAGCTCTCCCCCACCCGCCACCCCACCCGGCCTCCCAGGCTTCTGCCAGCGAGGAGTTGCTGCTGCTGCTACTGCTACTGCTGCTGCTGCTTCTCAGCCCGGTGAGTCGCGGGTTCTGCCCCCAACCGGAGCGGTTGCCTTTAACTTTTATCTCAAGTCAGCGGGCGCCTGGCGGCTCTTGACAGCACGACGTAAGAGGCAGGAGGAGTCCCCGCCTCCCCTTCCCTCCCCGGCCCGCCAGGCAAGTTGCTCCCCCTCCCTCCCTCCCTCCCTCCCTCCTCCTCCCCTCCTTCTTCCTAGTCTCTTTTCCGCGTCTTAGCTCAACATTGGTGGGCGCTGTAAGGGGCTTCGCTCCAACCAAACGGAGGGATTCAATGCTGCCACCATCACCCCTCTGCCGATCCCACCTTGTCCTGATGCAGAAGAAGGATCTCCCCCCCCCCCCACAAATTTCTAGCCTCCACCCGAACCCGTATAATTCCTTCACACGCACACACGTGTTCACCACCTCCTCACTGGAGGACAGGGGGTTTCAATTGACCCTATGGGTTCACCCCTTCCTCATCACCCCAAACCCTAAATCTATGGTGGGAATATATTTGGAGTAATCTGTTTTGGGTATGCCGAGGGGATCCTAAATCCATTTACTTTACTTCGTTTGTGTGTGTGTGTGTATTTTAGGCCGGGATCCTTAGGCCGTCCCTCCTTTGGGTACGATCGGCGGGACTTGCTCCCGAGGTGTACACCTCACTCGGGTCCGTCCACCTAAGTAGTCCTGAGCGCACTGGAGCGCGTTGTGTTTATATCGACGGGTGCTACTTGGGCTTGAAGACTATCTGGGCGTTCCGTACATGATTCTGGATTAACTAGCTGCTAAATCGCTTCCCAAACTCTATTTCTCCGACGCCCACATATAAACATCTCAACGTTCCTCCGCTCTTTTTGGTTTCAACTGCTCTTACTTCTCCATCCAAAGAAAATCTTTCTCTGTGTCCAGAGACTACTTTCTGCTTGTCCATTTCCAAACGTGTTGAAAGGCCACTTAGATCCTAACCTTCCGCTATTTTCGTACACACACCCTCCCCCGCCTCATTTCTTTGCTACGCAAAACCAGTTGGTAATACTCGCGAGGAAGCGATTTCCCTGTGGCCTTGATTTTGCGGACAAAAAAAAGAAAGAAATTAAGAAGTCTGTGCGCGCGCGCAGAGGAATAAACACAAACATCCCTCCCTAACAGCGAGACGTTTGCTAGAAATTGACCAGTTAATTGAACGCATTAAAAAAAAGGACCAGCAGTTTTGTTTATACACAAATGAGACACACCAAAAATTAAAGTGATTCCCGGATCCCCCCTGCCACCAAGGGGATCTCTCTTGAAAGGCGGTAGGTTTGGAACTCACCCACTTTTAAAAATCAAGTTTCTGATTTCTTTGCGAGATAGACGCAGACAAGGGGCAGGATGTTTATACAGCGCAACGTAAACAAGTTCCCGGGCCTTTTTTAATAAAATGAAAACGTCCGGAGTTTCTTCCAGTGGCCCACAGCTTATATTGCTGATTGTTTAGGGCTTTTCTTCCACCCACCCCATACATTCCCATCCCAAATATTTTCTTCTGCAAAAAACAAAAACCGTACTGGACACGTTGGTTATTACTTGATTCTACAGATTCTCAAAGACACTCGCACAAAACGTGCTTCCTAAAAGCGTCCCAAAAAAACATCCCCAACCCACATTTAGAGAAGGGTGGGTGTCCATCGTCCCCTCCCTATCTTTTTTTTTTTACTTTTTTTTTAAACTCTCCGGAGAATCTTTTCATCAGCTTCCCAGCCTGCCACTCACTCATCAAGGTAAGTCACTTCCAGATTTTGTCACCCTCTTTTCCAGGCGCGCGTGGTAAATTTAGCGCAATTAAGCTGTTAAAGGGGTCTAAGTGTGGGTGAGATTGGAGGTGAGGGGGGGCAGTTTAGCTTTTGCACTTAATCGCTGGAGTGGGGTGATGTGTGGAGAGAGGGGGGGGACAGATCTGCTGTTTCTTTATTCAAAAGATGGTGAGGGCCTAGAGAAGCATTTGTTGTTTCAAAACATTATTTAAAATACACTTATAATGCTCCTTATGGAGAGAGAATTCCTGGCTGGTGGTGGGGCACGCACCCCATTCACTTCCCTCTGTTACCCCGTTTCCTTTTAAAATGCTTTTTTTAAAAAAAATATTGTTGTCCCTTTTTCAAAAGAAAACTTGAGATCCCAATCTAAGATCCTTCTGGGAAGGGCGAATTGCAAGCAGACGTTAGCAGCCTATGGGGCGCCTCACACATCTGTGAGACCCAAGGAGAGCAATTTCACTTCAGGAACAGTTTCTATCCTGTTTTCACTCCCTGATAAAAGAAGACGTAGGGTGGCAAGCTTTGTGTGGTGTGTGAAGGAGAAGTTAAGAAAAAAATCCAGTCTTCGCAATTGCAACAGAAATGACTCCTGCCTGGGACACACAAGCACGGATATCTCCAGATACAACGTGGGGGGTGGAAGGAAGAGGGAATGGTACATTTATGTCCCACCCAAGTCTCTTTGCAACTAGAAGACAGAACGAACCTTATTGAAATGAATTGAGATGGTGGTGAAGGACAGCCAGTCTCATCAAAAGGGTGTGCTGGTTTAATGCTGCAATCCTAAAGGCACTGACAACAAACTAGTGCGTTCCATCGAATTCCAGAGGTCTATAGATAAATTGTTTTGGGGGTTTTAGGATAGGGTTTAGGATAGGATGTGTTATAAAGAGGTGGATTATCGAGGGAGCCGATTTGATAGGAAAGGGATCGAGTAAAAATCGGTGCCCCTGCTTGCCTGTCGACCGCATCGTCTCAGAAACCAACGCAATGTGCAATACAATAAAATAGATTTTTTAAAAAGAAAACCACACTGTAGAGATAAACTCAAAGGAAAAACACTGACTTCTTCTTGTCTGCGATGAGATCGCGCTGGCTCGGAGCCCAGGAGCTTCTCCTCAGCTGCTTTGAGGATCCCCATGGCTAAGAGTGCGGTGCGCTTTTGCGCATTTATAGGGGGAAATGTTCGCACAGCGGTGAAAGGGGAAACGATCGTGATTCAAATCAGGACGTTTATAAAAAGCTGTCAAAACAGACGTTTCCCCAGTTATCTTAAAAGACCCACAGAATGAACCCTGTTTGTTTGTTTGTTTGTTTGTTTGTTTGTTTGTTTGTTTTAGCCAGCGAAAGTCAATCTGCAGAGCAATCCTATGCAAGTTTACCTTTGAATAAACCCCACTGAATACCGAGGCGGGGCCTTCAATAATAAGCAGGCACAGGTCTGCGCTGTTGGCACTGTACGCTTTTAGGGGCAGAGGCCTGCCGGCGTCTTTGCCTTATATTTCATGTCTGAGTATAAACGGAGGGCATGGAATTCACAGCAAAGCCAAACACGACAATCATAATAAATAATTACTGTTTTAAAAACAGCATGGAATCCACTATGTGAAAACAACCTACGTTGAACGTAGGGCCACGTTGAAAATCTATTTGGAAAGTTAGTCGTGACTAAGAAAAGCCCCACTGATTTCTGTGGGAACTGACCTAAGTCCGGATTCAAATCTATGTGTTTTCCCCTATCAGAAAACAGCACATATATTCACACACCCTTCCTTTTTGTAGCCTAGAGTTCCTTTCGCTCTTGCCCAGCAGACAAATCTCTGTTTTTATTCGCTTGGGCTATAATTAAAGTTTCCTCTTCCATTCTTCCACCGGCTCAGCAACCGGCTGGGTTCCCTGTAATATCGCATTCCTAAATGCAGTCACTCGGTAGGGGGATCGGGACCTTGACTCCACCCGAACAATGAAGGCTTCTCTGCCCTTTTACCCTGAAGGCAGTCCCCCTCCCACGGCTTTTTCCGGGGTCAATGTGCTTAAAGGGCACAAGGAACTGAGCTGAAATAGTGCACATGTGTGTGTGTGGTGCATATATATAGTGTGTATATATATATATAATAGTGCATATAAAGAGAGATCTATAGATATATATGCTTCCTCGTAACCGCAAGACGTCATTGTAAGAAGGAACTCCGCTTTGAGGTTGTCAGAGTGGAAATAATGGGGGGACAACAAATCTAGGCATATTTATTTGGCAGGGGCAACCCCCCCCATAGAAAATCAACGGGGCTTACTCCGAAATTTAAAACAACAGCAATGTTTATGGTCCAGTGTTAGGCCGCCTGCGATGCCATCTTTAATACGCTTCATTTAAAGGAAAAACACCCGCCTCGCCCACAAAAAAACACCTCATCCTTTTTTTCCAAACACGAGTGAGCACGATCCGACCACAGCTGAGCAACGGGAGAGTTCAAATGCGTTTTTACAACTCTCTCCTCATTGAAACCATTGTAACGTCGACGTACTCCTCTGGTGCTGGGCCCTGTGTTGTTCTGAATGGAGAGGGAAATCTCTAGTCTTCTGGGACAGCAACCCCACCACCACCCTCCGCCAAAAACAGACACACACCCTGTCCTTTATTTAGAAGTGGGTCCTATTGATCTAAGTGGAATATGCTTCCAAGGAAGTATCCTTTGAATAATCACTCAAAGCCCCTTAAACTCCATCATCCAAGTTGGAAGTTGGCACCCTTGGTTTCAGTGCAATTTACTTCCAGGGAAGCGTGCTTAGAATAACCATCCCGGACTTCAACACGTCAGGAGACACGAAGCCTCTCTCCAGGTGGCTGCAGGCTGCAAAGAGATAGCTCAATCCGTCACCCCAGAGAAGCTGCAACACTTGACTCTAAACTCTTTTTTTGTAGTCCTTGTTTATTTCGATGGTACAAAAACCAGGCCGATTCTTAACCACACCGAGTTGGAACTAAAATGCAGTTGCTTTAAGTGGATCTTGTAAAATCTTAACTTGGCCGAGAAGGGCAGGAGAACTTAAGATACCTTTTGGATTGGAAACTCTGCGGGGCAGGCGCCCAACTCTTGTTTTTTTTATATCCTGTTTTTCACACAGTCTAGGCAGCAATCCTAAGCACACTTCCTAAAAAAGCATTCAGACAGACTTGCTTCTGAGTAGACAGCACGATGAAAAGAGTGTGTGTGTGTGTGTGTGTGTGTGTACACCCTCTTCCAAGGTAGAATGGATTAACCCTGTTAGAAAAGTGTTGAGAAAAGGTGCTGGTATTTTATGGACTAGATTTTCCATGCCTTGAGATGTGTTATTTATTTTAAAATCCTATTTGAGAACATCAATCTCCTGCCTCAAGAGTTGTCCCCAAATGCGCTCTTAAATTCAAGGGCCTTGCTTTTCCTCACAGTGATACAGAGGATGGTACCGGGTGTACCATTCACCGAGGGTGTCCGGCGCTGTTTACAGAACGAAACCGGCTGAAACCCAAATACTCCGGCTCCACTCCTAGAGGTTCGAATCCGGAGCGGTGCGCTTTTCCTCCTGAGCCAGACCAACGGCCACCCTCCTCATTTATTACAGCTTGCTGTCCTAAGGGCGCTCCTTGGAGAGGAAGCCCCATGGAAATCAATGGGACCTGCTTCTTAGCAAGCGGGCCTGTTTCAGACCGTCTCCTGGAGCCTAGGGAGAGATAGGAGGGTCACGAATGTAGGTGAAAACGCATAGATGTACACTTTCCTTTATTTTTCCAGATGTAGGGGAAGTAACCAGCTGGAGCAATTTTATTTTTGTATATTTATCCGTCGGCGCGGGATGTCTGCAAGATCTGCAGTGGCGCTTTTTCAAAAGAGATCTTCTAGCTCGCTGGAGTGGATTTGCAAAAAGATCGATCCGAGGAGGGAGGAGAAAGCGGCAAAAAACACAGAGAGAAATATACGTTTATCTGTTGATAAACGTATGGCCCAAATGTTTGCAAGCGCTGTTCCTCGCTCCGCGATATTTTTTTTTTTTCCTAAAAAGAATCGAAGAATTATTTCCCCACCCCGCCTCCTCCTTTTCCCCCTGCAGGTATTTTTACTAGCTAATTGCTTAAGTGAAGGAGTCTTTGCTAGAAAGAAGACGTTGGGAGCGGGGAGGCGGAGGGTGGGGAGTGTAATCCGAGGCTGGAAATGTATCTGGCTAGTATTGTCAAAAGCAGATTTTGCAGGCAAAGGAAGGACGCGAGGGGGGTTGCTTCTTTGGAAAGGGGCCCGCATGTTTATCAAAGGTCAGACCACCCACGGGGAGGACGGAGTCAGACGCGCGTCCGCACTCGCTCCGGCCTCTCTGCCCTGGTTTTCATTAACACCAGGGAGCTGGTCCAGAACGAAAAAGACGCCTCCTCCCCCCCCCCAACCCACCCCCTCAGTCTCCTCCTGGGTCCCTCTACTTACTCGTCCGTCCCCCCCCCCAACCCTCGCAAAGCGATCCCATAACCGTTTACACAAGGCCAAGGGAGGTGAATGGCACGATCCGGCTTGACCAGTTTGCTTCATCTGGAGATTACGCGAGAGACAGATATAAAATCATATATATGGTAACATGTTCCAACTTCAAGGTGTTGACAAGGAATTGCAGTCGAGCGAGGGGAGGTGGAAGGGAGCTGGATAGATTTTTGGCAGAGCTCTCCAGAAACGCAGCATCAAGCTTTCCAACGTGGGCAGAGGAGGAGGAGGGACCTTCTCACCACCTTCCTCGGTTGTTATGATCATCCCCTCTCTGTGGTTTTACCCCGGCTTCATGAATAACTGCCTGGAAGAGTGAGAACTGTCTGCATGTTCTAAATCCATCCTTGCAGGTTCTCCCTCTTGCAATCCACTTTAGGTAATCCGGAGTAACCACCGCTGCTTGTTGCCACACTTTTTATTTATTTTTATTTCATTTAGATATCACCTTTGCCTGCAAGGAGCTCAAGGCGGTGTACGTTGTTCTCCCTTCCCCTTTTTATTCTCACAGCACCCCTGTGTGGTAGGTTAGTCTGGCCCAGAGCTTCATGGCTGAGTGAGGATTTCAACCATGGTCTTCAAGGTCCTATTCCAACACTCTTAACTTTCACACCAGTATATGAATATTATGTAAGCCTGCTGGACCTGTGCACACGTTGAAACCAGTTTCAGACCTACTCAGCTATCATTCAGCTGTGAGGAACATGGAAAGCTACTTCATACCGAGTCAGACTATTGGTCTGTCTGAACTCTGTACTGCCTACACTGACCAGCTGCAGCTCTGCAGGAATTCAAACATGGGTCTCCTTCAGCCCTGCCTGGGGATTGAGCCTGGGACCTTCTGCATGCAAAGCAGTTGCTCTACCACTGAGCCAAGTCCCTCCCCTCCCTCCAAGAGAGGGCAGCTGTTCCAGGATTATTTAGATGCAGCTCTCACTGATTTCAATGGAACCTGCTTCTGGGTAAATGTGCCTAGTTTAACGAAATGGTCTGGGATAGAGCCGACTACTCTGAAAGAAACTAAGGCAAAGGATGTCCTCTTTACTGTGCATTCATGATTATTGGTGCTCGTGATGGTATCAGGGCTGCTATACATGACCCCCAGATGCTTTGGGATGGGCACACTGCCTCATTTCCATACATCTCCCATAACTCCCTGCTGAATTCCTGGAACTCTTCATACCACAATTTTCACAGTTTGTTTTTTCTCCCCCATGCTTATTTTGCACTATTGTGCGGCAGTGCCCCTCTAGAGTGCAATAATGCTGCAACACTGGGGACACATTGCAGCACAACTCACAACGCAGAATGATGTGAGGATCATCTAGTTCCCCGGGGGGTCATCTAGTTCAACCCCTGCAATGTAGGCATCTCAGCGTGTTGCAGAATGCACCCACAACAGAACACCAGTCTAGAGGGTCTTCATGTCCAACCTCCAAAACACAGCATTTTGCTAGCAGCAGTGGGGAAATTATTCTATCAATGATTTTAAGCCAGATTCAGAGGCTGTGTACCTCTGAATACCAGTTGCTGTGGAGCAGTAAGAAAAGTCTGTTACAGTGGTACCTCCGGTTAAGAACTTAATTTGTTCTGGAGGTCTGTTTCTTAACCTGAAACCGTTCTTAACCTGAAGCACCACTTTAGCTAATGGGGCCTCCCGCTGCCGCCACGCCACTGCTGCGCAATTTCTTTTCTCATCCTGAAGCAAAGTTCTTATCCCGAGGTACTATTTCTGGGTTAGCAGAGTCTGTAACCTGAAGCGTCTGTAACCTGAAGTGTATGTAACCCGAGGTACCACTGTACTTGTGGGCTTTTCTGAGGAATTTACTGTCGGATGTGTTGGGCTTGCCCTGAAGGCTGATGTGTCTGCTTGGGAAGGTGTAGATAGAAGAACCTCCAAGCTTCCAAAACTGTCCTTTAACTTGCACTGATTTTCCCTTAAGTGCTAGAGTGATACTTAGAAGAATTGTTGACCTCATTTTCTACTTCCATCTTCATCCTCACCTTGTTGGAGGAGACATCTTTCTATGTCTCTCCTGCTGACACAAGCATGTTTCAAGGCACCTCCACCTGACTTAGACAGAACCAATATATTTCTTACTAAGGATGTGTTTCCTGCAATAAACATAGCTTTCTTGTTTTCCTAAACTCAGATCCTCAGTGTGTTTATATACAGGGTAGTGTGTGGTCCCAACCAAGGAAGGATTTCAGTACATACTTCAAGGTTCTGCTGATACAACTCCAAATGACATCAACTAGCTTGGGGTTTCCTAAACTTGGGTCGCCAGCTGTTTTTGGACTACAACTCCTATCATTCCTAGCTTGCAGGACCAGTGGTCAGGGATGATAGGAGTTGTAGTCCAAAAACAGCTGGAGACCCAAGTTTGGGAAACCCTGATCTAGCTGGCCTCTGCTGGAAGCAGGATGCTGGGCCACTGGTCTCATTCCAAAGAGCTCCACATGAAATGATAGAGAGGAAAGGGACCTAGTCCAACCCTCTGCTCACTGCAGGACCTACAATGCAGGATATGATGGCACATCAGTGTGCACTTGTAGGAGGACACTTTACCCCAGATGTAATCTCACTGAGATTTAAATATGGAAAAAAGAAGTCTAATTTTATTATTGGAAGTACATGTCGGACAGGGAAGATCCTACTTCCAGCAAAGTAAAAAATCCATACCTGCATCTTCATTTCTGCAAGAGAGAGATAAAGGGGGGAAAGGTGTCCTCTCCCCAAGTGGGATGAAGGAAGAGGAGGAGGAGGAAGTGAGGTCAGCAACCCTGAAAGTTTCAGACTAACACTTGGAGAAGGGTCAGTGCAGGTTAGGTCAGAAGGACAGTCTAGGAAGCTTAGATGCTTCTCTCTCTATCGACTTTCTCCCCATGCAAACCCACCAGCCTTAATAGAAGCTGAGTTGTATGCATCCCAGAACTTCATCCAACAGATGGCCCTGGCCCACAGTGCTTCACAGTAGGCCATAGCTCAGTTGGCAGAGCATCTACTGTACATGCAGAAGGTGCCAGATTCAATCCCTGGTAGGACTGGCAGACCAGCCTACCTGAGACCCAGGAGAAGCCACTGCCAGTCCGTGTAGGCAATACTGAGCCAGACTGACCAGTAACTCTGTGGGGGGAAAGTCAGCTCCCAATATTCGTATTCATGGCTCTCTCTGTTCCCACAACAGTCCCTTTAGCGAAAGTTGTTACCCTGTAATTTTCCCAAAGCCGTCTTATTTGTAATGGAATCTCCCATATGCAACTCAGGCCTTCCTTGAGCCTGTATCTCTTTGTAGACCACAATAGAGAGTGCATTTTGTTGTGGTTTTTTCCTCTGATGAATGTGGAAGAAACTTCGATATCAGCACAGATCAATATAGGCAGCAAAACTTGATGATGAAAAATTGTCATTACTTTTGCAGGGCCTTTTGTTGTTGTAAATTCGTACTCTGCCCATTGATTTCATCTATATCTAATACCTGTATTACATGTTTTATCCCGTTAGCCCCTGCAGAATGAGTGAACTGTTTGTGAGAGCTTAAGCTTTGTCTGTGTAGGTTAATAAAAATCACAGTGTCTTGTGGCACCCTAAAGACTAATAAATTTATTATGATATGTCTAGTGCCTAGTATTGTCCCTAACCCTAACATAGGTGAGGAAGCAGGGTGGGCAGCATGTTAACAGTGGAATTAAGCAACTATGAAATGCAGTAATTACAATACATTACTATTCGATTATTTAATTGCTTCTGTACATTATTTAAAACAACATTTCTGAATTACTTTTCATCATATGAGATTCCAGGGTGATGTGCAGCGTAGAAGGACAATTCAACAGGATACAAAACAAGTGAAATAAAAACAGCACACCAGAGCTTAAATGTAGGCAAAATAAACACAACAGCCACGATTGATTTATAAGGGGCAACATCTTAGCATTGGCAAGGCAGGAACCCCTTGTCTCTATTCATGCCCAAACAGACAAAGCCAAATGTGTGTTTCTGCATGCACATCACTGGAAAGGGGAAAGGAGAGCGTCTTTCTTACGAAATCACCCATTCCCCCCCCAAAAAAAATCACCTCCCTTCTGCCCCTCTTACATCCAATTTATTCTCCTTTCTTTCTCATCTCTCTTTACCGCCCCCCCCCCCGGTATTTATATCCCTGATTATGGGGTTATCATAACTGGAATGCTTTGCAGAGTTGCTGGCGGCGTCCCAAATCTCTGTTCCATTCAAAGGCAAAAGACAAGAGACGAGGAGAGGGGGAGGGAGGAATTGCGACAGAAGTGGAGAATTGGAAGGGGCTGGGGAGAAGTTCCTCTGAAACACTTCTCCAAAAAGTGTCCCCCCACCCACGCAATCTGCGTGTGTGGCCCACGCTGCTTTATCTCGTTCCAGCTCCCGAGGCTTAGCCTGGAATCTTGCTCTGGGGAGGGGTGAGGGTCGTCCTGCCAGCAGCCCCTTCCAGAGCGTGTAAAACGGATCCACCGCCAACGTGGATCTTGGAAGATCTCTCTCAGTTGGTGGTGGAGGGAGGTGGGGGGGTCAGATTTCTAGGATCTCACTGGACGGGATGAAAACACGCGACCCACCAGCCCTATCAAAGCTGCAATCCTTGCGGGTGGGGAGGGAACCACTCAGTTTCCTGGGAGGAAGCCCCATTGAACTTGTTGAAGGACGCAGGAGCGTATGAAACTGCCTTAGTTAGGCCATCTAACTCCGTATTGTCGACACTGACTGGCAGAGAGTCTTTCCAGAGCTTCAGGAACAAGGCATTCCCGGCCCCGCCTGCAGATGCTGGGATTGAACCCGGAGCTTTCCCCGTACAAAACACGTACTGTTCCACAGACGGAGTTACCGCCCTTACTTACGAATAGATACGGCTAGGATCGCTCTGTAAGCCGATCCAAGTTCAGGGCCGCTAAGAATATGGAAATAAAGTTAGCACACGCTTATTGGGGAGTACGCCTTGAGTTCAAGGGAGCTTACTTCTGAGTAAACCTGCATAAAATAGGGGTTTGCCTGTCAATCGCCTTAGCTCCTGCTCCCCTCCCCGCCTCTCCTCCCTCCCCGCCCAAATCCTTGGACAGAGCTGGAAATAAGACCCAACAGATTACTTAAGTGATGGTTCGTGTGTCAGGCGCTGTACAGACAAAAATAAACAAGAGAGGCTGTCGCGGGTCTAACAGTCACTAAACGGCCTCCTGCAGCCAGCACAAATCTCTCTCCGGGAAGTGACAGCCCATGAAAAGTTTTGAGCGGGGTTTGAGCGAGATTTTGTGTATGCAATGACGGATTAATCCGTCCGTAGTTTAGCAGCGCGTTAAAGGATGAGATCTTACATTAGATGCCACCAGTTTGAGTCTTGCTGAGGGAAGAGATCGGTTCTTTTCCGACCAGCATAGAAGAACACGAGTTTCACTGCGGGAAAATCAATCTAGGCAAACAGTGGCCGGGTCAGTGGGAATAGAACCGCACACGCATTGCCAAAGACTCAGCTCTTATGGATATAGATTTATTTTAAAAGAATGCAGTGCAGCGAATGGACTCACCTTACCGATTCTATGCTTTATATGCGTGGCAGGCCAACTCTGAGAAGAGAGCTTCGTAGAAAAAGAAATCTGTTTATGTATTGAGCCTCTGGGAATTTCTGAATTGTATTTCACTTGCTGCGACGCCTCTTTGAATGGGGCTCGTGGGCGGAAAAGCGAAGGATATGAATTACTTACTGAAGCTGCAGTTCTATAGACCTGGGATCGAGTCTCAGTGACCTCAGCGGGGCTTTGTTCTGAGTAGACCTGCATAGGATTGCGCTGTTGGAGGAAGAGTGTATAGAACGGCAGCACAATGCTATTCAGAAGGAAATGTGCCTGTTTGATTCAAACGGGCTTGCGCCCACGTAAGTGCGCATAGGATTGCAGCCTCACTTTTCATTCATTAGGCTTTCCCTCTCAGGGCGCAGACTTCCTTTCTTCAGTGTGCTCTGTTTCAGAACAAGTCATCCGTGGATTCCCTTCTGATTAGGCATGCACTGGGTCGCATTTTGCAATATGCTTCTGTGTATATAGGATCGCAGCAGCCTTATTTATTGGCTTAACAATCATAAAACAAATCCTATCAAGGCTGTATTCTCCATGGTGTTTGATAATCTATTTATACATTTTACAGTTCCTATTATGTTTCCTTCTTCACTCTCGGTTCTTCCTAGACTTTCCCCCGCATCTTAGAATAAGCCCCCCCCCCATTTTTTTTCTATTCTGCCCTCGAACCCATAGAATTCCTTCACACAAACAAACACGTGTTCACCTCCTTCCACCAATCAATAGAGGACAAGGGGTTTCAACTGATGCTCTGCATTCACCCCCTCGTCCTTATCACCACACACTCTAAATCTATGATGTGAATATATTTGGAGCAATCTGTTGTGTGTCTGTGTCTGTGTGGGGTTTTGTGAAGCGTGCGGGGGGATCCTAAACCAATTTACTTTATTTTATATGTGCGTGGGGTATCAGCGAACACCTTTAAGATTGGAGGGATATTCATTAGTGTGAAACACACGTATTTTGTATGAAATGGGTTGTGGATTGGGCTGGTAGTTTAGCTTAAGCATAAATAAATGAAGAGACATTAAGACACAAAGGATTATCTTTATCTAGCTATCTATGTATCTATCATCTGTCAAATTAACTATCGTCTATCATCTATCTATTCTGCACACCCCGAAAAAAGCAGCCCGTGTGCGTGAGTACACGTGAATGATTCATTACATCCGTGTGTATGTGGATTTAACTCTGAAATCCTCCAAAGTAAGCCTACGTACATAGAAAAGATATTTGCGTGAGGTCAACGGGCGCGTGCCTTGAGATTTCAGCTTAACGCAGCGGTGGGCAGTAGGTCTTCTCGCTAGAGCCCTGTAAGAGGGGGATAGGAAGGGAAATCAGAAATCTGCTCCGCTTTACCTCATGCGAAAGGGACAGAAACACGTCTCAGAAGTGCGGCCTGCAACTTAGAAGCAAACCTTTACGTCCCAACCCTCCTTTGATTGTCTAAGAGGAAACCGTCGACTTCTTTCTTGTGTGTTGGAAATGATTTCAACAAGGGTTTATATTTTTTATTTTACCTTCCGCGGTGTGCGCGTCTGAAGGCTTGGTCTAGGCGAGTTTAAAGAAGGATACGCCGGCTAAATGGACATCCATTCAGGCAAAATAAGGACCGGCATTTATTTATTTATTTATTTTAAAGTAAAGTTTGCAAATAAACGGCACCTTCTCGTTCCAGAGTTATTTTGGAGGGATCGGATGGTTTGTTTTCTGCCTAGTGTCAGGTCATATCGGCCTCTTCTAATGAGAGAGTTGAAATGTATTTGCCTCAAGAGGTCGATTTTCAGCTGGTGTTGAAGAGAACAAAGGGAACCATTTCGTGTTCTGTCTGACAGCTAAATAAACTCCACCCTCCTCTCTCTCACACCCCAGTCCTTTTCACTTTATAAAGCGTACTCCACCTTCGTTGCTTGGTTTCTGAACCGGGGCGGGAAATCTGATTGCACGCCATGAATCTGACAAAGTGGTCTGATTGCCACTGCTTACAACAAACACCTCGATCCTCGTCTTGCGCGTTTCTTCTCTGCATCTGTAGATTGTAAGGGCATCCGGGTTTCCCCGCCCCCGCATCTCTGTTTGATGGGGAAAAAATATCACTAATATACTTCAAACGCTGGTACGATTATTTAAATAATATAGACCTTCAGGAGAAATACGTAAGGTTAAGGTTTCTAGGGCATACTTTGTCCAGCAGCGGTTCCTTTTTGTCGTTCCTGAAAATGGTAGGATTTAAGTGTAGATTGACGGGGGGTTATGTAATTCTCCTTTTCCATCAGCACCGTTAGGTATCCAGAGAATAAATTAAGCAATGGCAGCATGGTAAACTGTGTGCGTGCGTGCGTGCGTAAAAAAAAATGCGAAATATACAAACTATATTGAGGATAGTAGAAGAAAATGCTTGGAAGAAGCTTGCAAAAGATCCCTGTAGAATATGGCTTGTTTGTAGACGCCCTGCTGTTTCACCAAGTCAATTGTGCCAAATCTGTGAAGGCACCTGCTCTAGAAAACAACCTGCGCCGTTTTGGTGAAGAATACAGCACTTTAACATTAGAGTTTTATTTTTATTTATGCTTTGAAAACTACAACAAAAGGGGGGGGGCGTTGGATGAATAAAATAGAGGGGCGGGAAATATTTCTATGTACATATTTTTATGTACTTTCTGTTTAAACCATATTTTGGATCTCTGTTTTGGATCTTTGGAGCTTTGAAACCTACGGGTGTAACCTTCTGCAGTATTTTAAAAGTCCCTCGCAATCTTTGAGAATTATTCCCAGAGAAATTCACCCAAATCCAGGTGTTAAATGCATTTAAGGGGGTGGGGTGAGTTAGACGGTGCATACCCAAATATGGAGATTTATTTCCTTGAAGGAACGAAGTAACACCCTGTAATGTATAAAACGACCTGTGTTCGGGTATAATGATGTTCAGATCTTGCTCCTCCTTAGCTGACACCTAACGGTCTATCGAAACATTCTAAAGAAGTCTAAACATTCTATAAATATCTCCCGTGATATTGGTGGGCTGGCTACTAAAAGGAAAAAAGAATCGATTTCCAGATTTTTAAGTAGCAATACCACTTTTCAATGCTCAAAGTAATAATAAATTAATCCTTACAAAGTATCAGTTAATTCGCCAAGTCACATATTAAATTGGATTTCATCGGGGCAACTCTTGTGGGTCAGTGTCCGCCGCTGATAACACATTTTTTACTCGGTCATTAAAAAAAAATCTATTTAATCTATTTAATCGGGTTCGTATTTTTCGTTAAAAGCTCCTCAAAAACGTCCTGAGTGCTGGGGCACTCTTAATTGTTAATAGGTTGCTCGTATTAGAGAGCAGCCATTAAACTGAGATTCTTCTCTCAACAAAAGTTAAGTGGAAACAAATTGGTAACAAATCAGCTGGACTTAACCTTCCACGTAAATATCTCTCGGGCTGAGAGGTCGAATCCCTTTCTTGCTGGTTCTTGGGGGGTGGGGGCAGGAGGGTACGGAAATTGTTTAGATTTCAAACACGACTCCGTTAAGTCTATTTATTTCAATGGGCCTACTCTGAGCAAATCTTACTGGACTGCCGCCCACCCTTCTCGGGAATGAAAGCGAGAGGGCTCGATGGCTTAGCCAACTCTGAGACAAGCAAGTGCAAATTCACGAATCCAAAAATAATAATTATTCGGAGTCCATTAAGACTCGAGATTCCGCCCCCCACTTCCTCGTCCTCCTTTCCTCCCCCGTTTTTCTTGCCACACGCAACTACAGAAAGGGCAAATCTGAAAATATTCGAGCCATGGAAGGTATTAATAAAACGTGTCACTTCGCTCTCCAAGTCTGTGTGTGGTGGTGGAGATTGGGGTGCGTGCGTGCGTGTGTTTAAGAAAACAAAGCTCTTTGCTTATCTTGAGAGAAAGAAAGAAGAACTTTGCACACTCAGCTTTCTTTTAAAAAACGGTATAATACTGTGTTGCACAGGGAGATATGTGAACCTTCCTGATGTGAACCAAAACATCAGACAAACTCTTACGGAACGTAGTAGTCCGGCAAAGAAGCGTTGATATATTCATGATGTTGCAGGTTGTGTTCATAACGGAACCGGTTGTGAACCTGCAACACAAAGGATTAATTCCAGGATTGAGGGAAGTACCATGGGCCAAGCCAGAGAGTTTGTAATTCCTGAGCTCACCTTGACCAATTCAACTCCACATCCGTATATTGGGTAGAAGAGGGCTACCTGGCCGGCTCGTAATGCGTGCAGGAGACATCCTGAAGTTCTTTTCGTACTCTCAAGGCATATTGAAATGGGAACTGATCATTAGTGTTAAATGAATCTGAGTCTTCAAACCAGCAGAGGCTAAGCTCTTCCCCTAGTTTTGTGTATTCAGAAAGTTTGCGCATCCAGGCTGCAATACAACATTTGCTTGGGAAAAAGTCCCACTGAGTATAGCAGGGCTTACTTCCAAGACCAAGGAAAGGGTCAGTGGCAAAGCATCTGCTTTGCATGCAGAAAGTCCCAGATTCAATCCCTGGCATCTCCATATAGGGATGGAAGAGACCCTTGTCTGAAACCCTGAAGAGTCGCTGCCAGTCAGTGTAGACAATACTGAGCTAGATGGACCAATGGTCTGGCTCATTTTAAGGCAGCTTCCAAGTTCCTAAGCATGTGCAGTATTGCCCTGTGCTTTTCAGCTTCCTCTGGATCTTGGCAGGATGCAGTTACAGCAACATGTTTATTGCAGAGACTAACAAACTAGAGATTTTTAATTCTTATCTCAAAGCGTTTCTCCAGTTGCTCTGATCAAAATGATGCTGTTTCCAAGGTGGCAGTTAAAGAGCTTTGAGGCTGCAGCTCATCGATGCTGGTACTGCCCTCCAGGTTAATGTGCCCAGAGTGTACAACCAGAAGCTCTCCCTTTTTGCTAACTTTGTTGGACCTTTTGGCACATCTACAGCAATTACTGTTCCGTAATTAGTTACTTTTTTATACACACACAAACGCTGCACGCACACATTTACCTTTGATACTAGCTGATAATAGATAGATAGATAGATAGATAGATAGATAGATAGATGATAGATGATAGATAGATAGATAGATAGATGATAGATAGATAGATGGATAGATGATAGATAGATGGATAGATGATAGATAGATAGATAGATAGATGATAGATAGATATAGATGATAGATAGATAGATGATAGATAGGTAGATAGATATCTGCTTCCTCTTTCTATTATGATATTAGTAACCAGGGAAATACGTTTGTCCTAGGTGAGTATGATTGTTTACAAATCTTGTCTCTTTCTCTTCAACTTTGGTATCTTCTGTTCTTTAGCGAGTCTTCCCCTCATAAATAATGCGGCCAGCTACATTCCTTTCTTCCTTGAACAAGTAACCAACAAAGGCATTTTTGTTCTATAAAAACCTCGACGTGAAAAAACCTGGACCATTAACCTGATGTCCTCCCCAATTCAAATCATTCCACAGGTCTGGGTATAAACCTGTTCCCAGGTTTGGGGAAAGCAAAAGGCCCCCAATTTATTTCGCCTTGAAGTTATTTAAAACATGACAGCCAGGAGCCAAAGCGAAGCCCCTTTGCATCCCATTGTTTTCAATGGGGACTTGAACACCTGCGCCGCTCACTTCCTATTGAAGCCAATGGGGCTTAAAGCTGCGGTCCTATATTCACCTCTTAGGGAGATTCAAGTCCCTTTTAACGCACTGATATTTACTTCTGAGGAGACATGGTTAGGATCGCGCTGTAAAACATGCGGAACGTGGTCTAGACCGTGCCCTGCGAGTGTGGGGTGTGTGTGCGCGTGCTTGCGTGTGTGTGTGAAGTAACGGGACGAAGAAAACCACACCGTTTAGGAGCAAAATATTGACAGATCTCTCATTTTAGAAACTGCAATTATATTAATGACTGGAGAGTTTCGTTCTTTTCAAGGGGAAAGGGAAGTTACTCTTTCGGTTTTCAGTCAAATGACAGGATTCTTCCATGTTTACCTTTATCCTGAAGTGGGGCGAGGTGGGGGCGAGGTAGAGAGACAAGCAAACCATATTAATAACCCGTGATATGAAACTGTTTCCCATAATCTCCCTCTTTCTCCCTGAATATTTTCTCGTTCTTTTTTTTCTTCCAAAAAGCTGAATTTATAATTTTATAGTTTTGGGTTGTTGTTGTTGTTGTTGTTGTTAGCAACCTCAAAGGCAGGTTCTACCAACCTTCTAGTTTCTCTGAGGAGGGCTTAATTTATGCCAAACCTCTCCAAAGTTGATATCCAGAACGCTCGGGGCAATTCTTCCAGAAACATGGGGTGAAATAATAGCAATCAAGAAAGGGGTCTCTGGCATGATAAAAGTCTGTAGTTTTATCAGGACAAGTTACTTGTTGTTAACTGTTGTAACAATTGCTTTCTCAAAATTTATCTTCTGTACCATGAAAAATAGATAAGCTGGCTTTTTTTAAGAAAGGGATCTCTGAGTCTTGTGCAGAGTGTCTTCATAGAAAAACAGGAAGTTGCCTTTATCTAACTCAGTAGTGTCTACACACTGGCTGGCAGGGGCTCTCTAGAGTCTTTTCCAGCGCTACCTGGAGATGCCAAGGATTGAACCCAGGGACCTTCTGCATGCAAAGCAGATGCGCCGCAACTGAACTTCGGCTTCTTCGCCTCACCAGGTTGACTTTATCCTGTCTCTAAGATGAAGGAGACGGACTTCTCAGAACAAGTGGACACCTCTCTTAGAAATGAGTAGGGTTGCAACTGAACTAAAGGCATTTTTGACAGTGAATCATATACCTTTTAGTCGATTAATCGATAAAGTGAATGGCTAAGGCAATGTTTCCTAAGCATCCTTCTCTTTTTAGGTGATGCACATATCTGGCGTATCTGGCATATTCTCAAAAGAGGCATTGCCTCTTATGAGAGGAAGGTGGGGATGTCTCCATTTAGATAGGGCTTGCCACCATTAGTTCAGTATTTTTATTTTTATTTAAACCAATATTTTTCTTTAAACGAACAAAAAAGTAATGCTCCAGTAATTGAGAACACGTTTTTAGTGGATTCTGCTTGGGACAACATTAGAGAACATACTATCTACTGCTGAAATGTTTACTCGATTAAACTAGCTGATTAATCGATTAAACATTGCAGCTATGGACGTTAAGGACTCATGTTATTTGCTGTTGTCTTAAGAAGAAAGGGAAATTGGGAAATACACGTGGGGGAGACAAGGAGAGAGACCGAGAGAGAACCTAGGTACAGGTATATTATCCAGTTCTGAGAATCCTGAATGAAACAGACAAGAAACGTTTTCCAGCTGAAGCTTATTTTTCTTGCATTCTGGATATTCTTATGCAAAGGGAAATATACCTCTACATGTTAGAGGTGAAATATTATCTGACAGATGGGGGTGCTGAGCCTTCTGAAAACTAATATCTCCGGTCTGCAGAGTCCCTCGCTGGCGAGGAGGAATTTAAACAGCTCCCACCCACAACCTAGTTAAGCCCAAACATGTAAATTCACACAACCCTATTGCACTGACGCGTCGTTAAATCTATGAGACTTCACATTCGGGTGCTACACGCATTCTGCTGACAACACGCAGCAGTGGTTTCATTTACTTCAGAACCATCTTTTGCCACAAAATCAGGGCTTTCCCTTGAATTCGTAGTCACTCCACTATCACCCTTGGTTCTACAGTCACAATCATCACAAAGGCGGCTTAGAGCTCGCGCTTTCTCCGTAAACACCAAGGGAAGCTAAGAGGCAGACAGGCTGTCAAAAGACAACTTCCAAAGGCGGCAGATCCTGGTTAAACTACTTGCGTGTTCGCTTGGTTTAAGCTCAGCGGGACTGTTCTGGAGAAAAGGGAGTAAGGCAAACTGTGAGGACTCTCTGGTTAGGGGCACTTGCACGTTCCGGACAGAGCCTAGCACACGCTGGAACCAAAATAAATATGGATGAGGAGGAGGGCGGCGGCAGTATGTTGCGTTTAGGATTAAGTAGCGCGGGCAAAGAGGCGCGCTGGAGACGACAGACTTGGTGAAAAGCCCATTAAGATCTGCACCGATTAAGCGGTGAACGCTTGCAGATCCATTTCTGAATTTCCCCCCAGAAACAGAATCCGAAATGACAGGAAGGGCAAAACTAGCTTTTAAGAAAAGGGGGGAAATCCACTTCTGTTTCCCATTTCTCCCACCCCACTTCAGTTCCTCCCTCTTCCCTCCTAAAGCAAACGAGAAGAGCTTTGTCAGTGCGTAAAGGAGCCATTCCAAAACCAATTAGAACCCCTTCGTCTCGTTTGTATGTATTGTTAAGGCATCTGGGGAGAGCGCGCGTCAGATCTGCCGCCCAACCATTGAGAACGCTGAAAAGGAGACTCGGACGAGGTTGGAAAACAAATACACGCGGCCAGTTATGAAGCCCAAGCCGGAGAGCCTGGCGGCGGCGGCAGAAATAATAGGAGTTGGGGCGGGTGGGGGAAGTGTCGGAAGGCGGATTTCAGACAGCGGAACCGCGGGATTCCTGTCCTGAAACCCATCCCAGGGAATAATAGGCAAAATGCTAATTTCATTGATGCTTCCGCTGTGAAGAACGCCAGCAGTTACGCATGGAGCCTCTGCTGGCTTATTTACTTACGCGCAGCGCAGTTCTGTATAGAGCTACTCTGGAGTAAGCCCCCATGGATTACTTGATTCCCAAGTAAGTATGTGTAAGGGTCTTGCCTACTTTCTATCTCAAGAAAATAATGATAATATCCTGGCTTTCGTTACAATATCCGGAAGGTTTAAATGTATAATCCACAAGTGTATAATCCCCTTTCGGGAAACGAGTTGAGAACAGAGGAAACGGCCTTCTTTCGAGCTGAATGACGGATCCTCCGTCTAGCACAGAACACTGACTGGCAGCAGAGATTCAAAAGGGTGGGAGGGTTGAATTTCTGAATAGAAAGCGTGTATTTTACCTCTGAGCTGTTTCTCCCACAGCTCTGTGGTAGGAAAACGAGACACAATGGATAGAGAGCGCCCAGTTTCATCGTCTGCAGAATTAGGGAACAGCCACAAACACCGTTGCGCTTCTCAGGGGTCGCACAACAACGCACAGATCTCTCCTCCGTGGAGTTGCTTTCTTTCTGGTTGGTTTGCTGTTGTTTGCGGAGTTCAGCATAGCCTCAAAGCCTGCGCTTATTTCCATCATCATAGACAGAAGACCCACACAACACATTTAATGCACCTCCAAAGCTCATTTAAAACACATTGTCCCCCCCCCGGGCAAATCATGGGAACTATAGTCTGATAAGGATGATCATTGGGACTATAGCTCTGGGAGGGGGAAAACTATAGTTTCCAGGATTATTTTGGGGAAGTAATGCGCTTTAAATGTTCGTTGGGGTTTATGATAAGGATATTCCAAAGAAATAAATTTAAGCTTACGCGTTTACGGCTCTGTAAGAGAGTATACTCAAGATTACTTAGTGCACGTTAGTTACTAAAAAAGAAGATTATTCCCGTGCTCATAGTGGTTAAAGTACATATTTCCCTGTCTTTTATTCAGTGGGCTCCTATGGGTGAAGCGTGGTGTAGTGGTTAGAGTGTCGGACTAGGACCTGGGAGACCAGGGTTCAAATCCCCACTCAGGCATGAAGTTACTGGGTGATTTTGGGCCATTCATTCACTTTCAGTCTAACCTACCTCACAGCATAGGAACCAACTCCTAGGGGCCATGGGGTAAGGGGTCCTCCACAAAGCTGATGGGCATTCCCATTCAAATATTGTGTGTCATGTGATCGATTATGTGGGGCGGGGCTTACCTGGGCCCCCCACAATTTTTTATTCAAGTTGGCACCCCTGCCTCACAGGGTTGTTGGGAGGATAAAATGAAGAGGCGGAGGAGGAGAACTAGCTTCTCTCTCTCTCTCTCTCTCTCTCTCTCTCTCTCTCTTTCTTTAAGCACTGGCTCATGCTAGGAAACGAGGGAGTAGCAATTATTCCACAGCGATGACCTCGCGGAATGTAGAGACTTCATTCACAGATGCTCCAGAATCGCCCTGGTTGAAGCCTGCGTGGCTTCTCCAGAGCAAGTGGATTCAAAACCGTCCAGCTTCACATTTAACACTCTTTGACTAAACCGCCCAGCAAAGCCCAAGGGGGGAGAGAGAGGTCGCCTATTCAAGAGCTGTCAGCAAGAGATTAAAAGCCCCAGGATGGCGTTGAACCCGAGGCTTGAGTCAAGTGGTGGAAGGAGGGGCGTGCGGGGAGGGGGAGACTCTCAGCAATTCGGGCGGGGGTGGGAGGAGACTTAAGAGAAGGGGAGACAGGCGTGTTTCAGAAAGGGGATCTTTACATCGGCCTGTCAGTATCCCCAGAGCGTAACCCAAAAGCGCAGATCCACATCGCACACATCGCACATTTAAAGCGCATCCAATGCACCTCGAAACAACATTACTTCGCCCCAGGGAATTATGGGAAGCATAGTTTGTTAAGGGGGCTGGAAATTGTAGCTCTGTGAGGGGGTAACTAAAGTTCAGGTGCTTTAAAGGTGCGCTGGATGTGCTTTAAAGGTACGGTGTGGAGACCTTCCTGTTCAGACAGGTCTTTGAAAACAAAGGTGCAGACGATGCTTGATCCGTGGGCTGCTGTCAGGGCAAACAGCTTTTAAACTTCCGGCTCTAAATGTGTCCTGGTGTATTTTAATTATTGTTTTTAATTATTTTGCTTTGATTAGTTTGTTTTGTACAGTATACTGTTGCTTTTGAATGTTGTAAGCCGCCGTGAATCCCAGCTTGGGAGAAAGGCAAGGTATAATACATAAAAATAAATAAATAAGGTTTCTTGATACACACTCCATGGTCACAGCGACACACATTACATATATCCTGTATATGCAGATTCATATGTGTCTATACCATCATAGCTCCACCCACTCACAATAAAATGACACAGAAAGAGAGTTATGTATACATACTGTATTAAATACACATAATCTAGTTGTGGAACTGTTCTCATGCACACACACATACCAGGAGGACAGACAAAAGACAATGCTTCTGTACACAGTGCACAGTTAGTTTATGGAACTCCCTGCCTCAAGATGTGACGATGTCCCATTTTCCCGTCGTCTTGAAAGCGGGATTAGACAGTGCAATGCCGAGGTAGGTGGGCCTCTGAGCTGAATCCAGTGATTAATAGATGACCAGAGGCCTTCTTGCCCTCTCTCCTAAAACATAAAGCTGGAAGGGTGGTGATGGCTGCCCAGTGGGACGCTTCTCTGCTCATGCTCAGAGGACGTCTCGTCTCCATCATGTGAGCAAAACCCGGACATTAAAAGAGATTCCGGGGAGAAGCTCTTTGGGCCAAATGTAGTCTTGCTCAGATCCATTGACTGAGGACTCTCACCTGTCCTCCCCGCCCCCACTCCATCCTAAATATATGCACTAAATATTTCACACTTTACATGTGAATTCTTGGGGAGCCCAGATTTTTTAGGGAAAGGGGAAAACTCTGCCAAAAGCCACTACGAGACCTAGAATTGTAGTGCAAACGTTGAGTGGCGATCCATAGTTAGGTTCCCTTCCTCTTTATAATCCCAACCCTCCTTCCTTCCCAGTTTGCCAATTTATATGCTGTTCGATTCCCAACTTCCTCTATCCATCCATCGCTCCCTCCATCTATCTCTGTACTCCGCGCAATCACGAAGCCAAGCGGCGAAATGGTCTCTTTCTCTCTCTCTTCACTTGACTAGCTTGGTAGGTGGCCCTGTATATTTGGGTTAATGTCGTGTTTATGTTAATGAAAAAGGGGGGGATAAGATTACAAACAGACCACGGCATGCCCTGATTTCTGTCGCTGCTGGGTTCGTCTAAACTGTATATTTCCAGACTAATCAGTTTCGGAGAGCGAAAATGACTGTTGCCTCGAAGACCTCTCTCGCCGCCGCCCCGCACCCCCCCCCCACCAAAACCGACATTTTCAATTAAAAAAACAACCAAGGGAATATTGATTGTGTTTCCTCTGGAGATAGTGTATATCTAATCTGTTGCTATAAAGAGGAAGAGACGCACAGGGATTTTTGGACTGTTTGATTTGTTGCTTTTTTCCTTTTTCAGAAGAGAGTGAAGGCAGAAGCGGCTTGAGGATCGCAGAAAGGATGTCTGGATGAGACCATTGAGCTGAATCACACACCGTTTTGCCCTTTACACTACAATCCGATATACACTTTTGTAGGAGTAGGTCCGGATTGTGCTATTAAAGACACACCCATGTCACTTGAGAAATTAAGCACTTGTCTGTCTCCCATGAAAAAAAGTGAGACCTCGATGTGTTTAACTTCGTCTATAGTTGGAAATGGCTCCTGATAGTTCTGTTAGACATTATTATTATTATGTCCATTAAACCCAATGGGTCTACTCTGAGTAGGACCAGCATCTGCTATCACTTATTATGATAATTACTATTATTATTACTATTTCATCTCCAAGACTCCTCTCTATTCAAATTTTATATTGATCACGTTTCCTGCCCGCCCCCATCCTTTCCACGCTGGACCTTCAAATAAGTCGAAGCTGTCGATCATTTCAAGGCTTTCTTTTGTCACTTAAAGAAAGTAGTGGCAACGTTTCTCTGAGGGGCGGGCGGGCTGTGGAGGACATTTATTGAAACTTCAGGATCCGGGGAAAGTCTTGGGGCACAAGCAACGAGGGTTTCCCCTGCCTCCCCCCACGCTAAGATGTGACTGGTTTTGGTGTGATCACTGGCGAGAACGGAAACATCTGAAACAATCCCGCGCCCGTATAGGGTACCGCTTCCAAATACAGTTGTATCCGTTTTCCCTAAGCCTCCTTAGATGTGCATCTTTAGGTACCAAAAATAGCACTGCGTTCTGTATTGCACAGCTTGGATTCTTGAACGAGTGAAAGGTGTACCAGTGTCTTTTGAGTGATTAAGGGGGGAAATGGGCAGGACCTCCCCCCGCACATTGTAAATCCCCATTTACAAAGCCAAGACAACCACAAACGTTATTAAGGCAATTAAAAGATTTATGGCTGTGAATAAGAAAACATATGTAAAATCCAATGCTTTGGGTTGTATCCAACTAAATTCTGCGCAGAGTAGACCCATAGAAAATAATGGGCAAGCCTAACTTAGGTCCACTCATTTCAATGGCTCTGCTCTGAATAGAAATTTGTTGAATACAACAGAGCGTTCTAAGGCAACATAGAAATATAATATTGGTTGATTCGTTTTGAGTGGGTTTTTATACACTTTAAAAAAGTATTTCAAAGAGAAAGTCCCTTTTAGGACAGAGAGGGGAGGGTATGATTATTTTAAATAAATGATCAGTACTGGCATAGAAACAAAGCAATTAGTATTTACCAGAAAGCCATCTATACAACCCTGTTCCTTTTTTCTTGTTAAAAAAAATATTGACTTTAAAATATATTCCCCTGGAAAAGTCTTACCCATTTCATTTCAAAGTAATTTCTATAAACAGCAAACGAATTGTTATTGCGTAACAATATATTCATTTTCAATCCATTATGATGTATAAACAATCATTTGGTACGAGTCACAGATCAGGCATGGGAAGAAACTCAGTTATAAGCGCGCGGGGGGGGGGGGGGGAGCCACATACATGATCTCAGTCTTCCGTACAACCACCCTGTAAAATAGGTCAGTATTATTATGTCCATGTTGAAGAGGGAGCGCTGAGAGTGTGGCTGAGGCTGCAATCCTATGCTCTCTTTTCTAAGAATAATCTCCACTGAATTCAAGCAAACAAGCATTAGGACTGGGTTATTAGTGAGGTCTGAGGTGAGGGTAGATTTGCCCAAGAAGCAGAAAGACGCCCGAATTCCTTCCCAAAGAAGACACGGAGCTCCTATTTGGTGTATTCAATGGGGCTCACTTTCTAGAACACCTACAATCCTATACCTATTTACCTGAGAGTAGATTTTACTTCTGAGCAGATATGTACAGGATTGCAACTATTCACTGTATTTAGGGTTACAGCGTTACAGAGTAATCCTGCCAATGCCTAAACAGAAGTAAGTCCCATTCAGTTAAATAGGATTTGCTCCCCGGTAAGTGGGTAAAAGGGTTACTGTTTTTCACAGTAAATTGGATTTCAACAAAACCGGTGGGCTTCTGTATCTTTTTTTTTAAAAAAAAAACTATTTTAAATAAAAACATTTTATAACCTAGGCGCAGGGTACTGCGATTCTCTCATACCCTTCCGCATTCCAGATGCAGGGATATCAGTTTAAATAAATAAGCAATTCTAATCCTGGAGAAGAATGAAAAGTATTTTGCTTCGCTTTAGCATAAGTGAAACGTATTGGTGGAGAGAGATATGGATCATAAAAAAAGGATAAGCGGACTTCAAGCTTGCGGGTTCTACTTCGTGTCGGAGCCAGTATTAGTTTACTCGGAGTAGACCCCTTGAGATTAATAGACTAATTTAGGTCCATTCATTGGATTTGGAATTAAGTGCCAAATAGTGGTTTAGAAAGAAGGCATACAGTTAGAACGAAAGAACCGGGACACTTCTGAGTCAGCGAAGAGACTTGTGGGATCTTAAAGATTCTACATTTTATTATGGCTTAGGTAGACTGAAGTCAATTTCAATAGAGGAAAGACCACCTCTGAATTTGTGTCCAGAACCAGACTCAAGCCCACAGACCTACCCCCCAATCCATTTCTCGTTCCCCCTCTCCAGCTTTCTTCGTTTCAGCAGATACATTTGGGGGTGGGAGCGGGGAGTTGCTGTGGTTAAACAACTGGGAGTCCAAAATCCTTGGTGAACTCCTGCAAATAGCACAGATACCTACAAGTAGTTCCCTCTGTACCTTCTTCTGCTCCTGCCCTTGTTCCTATTGAAGAAGAGTAACGCAATATCCTCCTGCGGGGATTGCGCAGGTTGGGCTGCGCTCTTCAATGGAAATTGCGCAGGAGAACGACCCGCTGGATTGTGCCTTCAACGCTCTTCCTCGAAGCAGTCTTTTACACCCCCCGATTGCAGAACCGGGATGGTATTTCTCCATAGAGAGGGGCGGCTTTGGAAGTCCCATTGCAGTGAATCGGAAAGTGCTGCGCCAAAACGCAGCTCCATAGCAGAAGCTACCGCCGGGATCGTGCCCATACTAGAGTCTCCCAGATCGCTTTGCATTTGCATCCCTTAATTCTCGATAACAGGAGTTTTATTTACACCGGTTTTTGGGTGCTTCCAAGGTGTCCCTAGTGCCCAGTGAAATTACCGTATTTTAATTTCTAGAAAGGGGTGGCGAGACGTTGAATCAACATTCGGGATTTTGAGGCAAACCAGTCAAGTTCTCGCTTTGTCCCATCTAGTATCATCATCATCATCATCATCATCTTGCCTGCCCTGCACCATGAGGTCCCCTGGCAGGTTACAACGATGTAAAATACAGAATTGAAATCAGTTAAAACAAATTACAGTCGAGAGATTAGGATGGGTCCTAAATAGATGTTTCAGATGTTTCCCTAAAGTAAAACAAACAAACAAACAAATTAGCTAGTGTAGCTAGTGAAAAGAAAAACCCTGGCACTCCTCAATTATGTGCCCCCTGGTTAATTTAGAGCTCTCTATGGGGTGGTGTGTGTGTGGCATCCATGGTACAGAACATCTGGTAAGAAATATGTTCAGGAAAGATAGGTGCAATTCACACACACACACACACACACACACACACCCAATAAAATTCATTACACGACATCCCAATCTCTGAACAGTAAAAGATTCCAGAGGTGCCAAGGCTGTTGCCTAGAGGTTTGGTTTCCTGGGAATGAAGGTAGGAGGAGACTGTGGTGTCTTTAGGGTGTATGGTTTTATTTGCACAGGATGGAGGGACTCACAGCATTAACACCCCCATAGATCTTTCTTCTCCACTAGTCGCATCTTTGGATCCAGCACAGAGCAAATATATGCCTCTCTGAGGTGCAAATGATGAGTGTGTTTCAGGGTTGGGGCATGGGCATAGCCAGGATTGATGTTGGGTGGGGGCAGGATCAATGTTAGGGAGGGCAGAACTGAGCTATCTGCAATGCAATTGGTCAGTTAGTTAAATATATTTATTTATTTACTTGTTTTAGGGGGGCAGCTGCCCCCTGCCCCTCCTTGGCTATGCCCATGGGGTGGGGGCTTCTTTCTACCTTTAAGAAATGGCATGCTCTTCTTACAAAAGAGGATTATACAGAATGGAGGAGGAGAGGTCTTCTAATGCCTAGTCAGCCATGCTAATCAAAGGTGTCCCATTTACTTGAAGGTGCAGGAAGAGGAGGTGGAGCAGTGGGAAAGACCCACTGACAACATGACCTGCAACTAATGGCAAAAGCAGAATTAGTTGGCTCTGCCTGTCATTGTCTCTAGCTCCACTTTCTGCTCGTCTCCCTGTCTTCTGCCATCGCAGTCCTAAGGGGCACCAGCCACCATTAATGCCACACACACATGTCTTCACCCCTAAAAACTCGAAGGATGCTCTGGTCTCCAGAGATGAAAGCGACATGGCACGACCCATCAGCTGACAACCGTGGCCCACACAGCCTTGCTGAGGCTGATTCATCTCACCATTTGTCTGTCAGCACTTGGCTAATCCTTAAATAGCCTTCAGCAGGTGCTTCATGCTTCCGCCACCTCCTCCTGCCTCCCTCCTCTCCCCCACTTCTTTGCTCCCCTCTGCTTTTATCTGCTCTTTTAGATGGTGGTGACATTTTCTCCAGTTCGTTCAATTCCTGCCTGTTTTCCCTGGGGTGGTGGGTGAGGGTGGAGGGGCAGCCAAGATATTGTTTAATCCAGATTGAGCTGAGTTCATAAAACCAGAGCCAGAAGGGACCTTCCAAGGTCATCTAATACAACCCGCTGCTTTAGTTTAGTCTTACATGGTCTACATTTCTTGGTTTTGTCTCACTACAGAAGAGAGGCTGCTTCTGGAAATCTCAGCGGGCATGTATTTCCACCTGCCTTCCCCACCCCATTGCCTGAGATCCTTATCAGGAGGAGAGCTGTATTTGGGGCAATGATTGCTACAGGGGAAAGACTGCTGGAACCATCAAGGGCAGGCTGTAGAATGGCAGAAGAGGTGGGATGGTTTGCAGGCAACACACTGCTTATCTTTGGAGCAAAAGTGATTCATGCATAGGAAAGGAACCCCTTCCAATCTACTCAGATTGGATATTGAACTGTGAGGTTATGTGGGGCTTGAAGAACAGCCAATCTTTACCTCCCCAGGTGAGGGATGGGGAAAGGATTGAGAAAGGAGACCCAGATGAGAACTGGGCTCCCATACAGCAAGTTAATTTGGTGGGCATATGTGGAATGTCCTTTGGGACTAGTGACCCCACCAATTTTGGATGCTACCACTTTATTTCCTTTGTGGATATTATTCTCGCAATTACGGTAGAATCATAGAATTGTAGAACTGGAAGGGACCAAAGGAGTCATCTAGTCCAACCCCTTGCAATGCAGGAATCATTTAAACCCATGTCCCTGAAATCAGGAGTCTCATGCTCTGTTTAGCTTTATGTTAGCTTATTTATATTGCTTTTGTATGGATTTATATTCTATATTTATTTGCATTATGATTATTTCTAATTGTTCTTACTTTTTTAAACTTGTTATATTTATTTGTTGTTGTTTATCTGGTATGTTGTGAGCCACTTTGAGCACTATTGTGGCAGCATACAAATAAATAAATAAATGGATAATGATGAATATGACTTTTTAAAAGCAAAATGTGAATAATCGCAGCCCCAGGATGTGTGTTTAGCCTACAAAAGTAAGGGTTAATGCTCAAGGTGCCCGAACAGTTACAACTAATCTGTGTTAGGCAAGCTTGAGTTTGCACTCTTGCTTAGCAACATAAGGAAGGAATGTCTTTGGTGGATCAGGCTGAGGTTGGGATAGGTCAGTATCCTTCAGTGGATTCCCAGAAACCAGCAAGCCCACAGGAAGATCAGTGATAGCCCTTCTCTCCACACCCGAATTTGTCTGTCTAGGGCTCATGCTAGTGGCGGGCAGGGATGGAAGCAAAAGTGGGAGGAGCAACAAATGAAAATTTTATCTTTGTGCAACAGGATTGTTTCTACATGCATCCACACACTGCTCCCGGACTCCATCCAGACAAGCAAGAGGCACAGTCAGAGTTCAAGGACAGATTCCAGCCAGGCAAAAAACACTTGGAGTGCGATGCAGGGTCAGTGAGGGCCTGGGGAGAGTTCTGAGGGCCAGCTAGAGAGGCCTGGAGGGCCACACACACACCTCTCTAGCCAGGGAAGGAAAAGGTATTCTTACTGTTCAG